TCACAGACAGGTACTACAGAGGCAGGTGATAAATTGATACATACCTATGTAAGTAGATAATAGATGACACATACTGATGGGTAGGTAACAGCTTATACATGACAGATAACATGGATAGATGGTGCAATGATAACTGATAGATGACTGATACCTACATCAGGTGGCAGATGATACAGATGATCGATACATAGATGGAATGACAAGATGAAGGATTGGTATATAAATGATAGATGATGCATATGTAGAAAGATATAGTTGATGGATGCATAGATGATACATGATGATACAGATATGCAAGTGGCAGAATAGTATGGAAGGCTTTCTTCCATTTGATAAACTTATTTATATTTTTTTCCTGTACACGGAGTCTTGCTCTTACTGCCCAGGCTGGAGGGCAATGGTGTGACCACATCTCACAGCAGCCTCTGCCTCCTGGGTTTAAGTGATTCTCCTGCCTCAGTCTCCAGAGTAGCCGGGATTACAGGCACCCGCCACCACCACTGGCTTTTTTTTATTTTTGGTAGAGATGAGGTTTCACCATGTTGGCCACGCTGGTCTCGAATTCGTGACGTATGGTGATCCACCCACCTAGGTTTCTCAAAGTGCTGGGATGGCAGGCGTGAGCCACTGTGCCCGGTGATACATTTATTTTTAAAACTCACTTGTAGATTCACTGAGTATTTCAAGGCATCATGCCAGGAGAGGAATGAGGAATCTCTTCCTCCAAGTATCCATTCCTTTTTTTAAAAAAATCTTGTGAGCAAACAATTGCTGATCCAGATCCCCTTGGCAGAGGCCCCACCAGCCCGAATGAGGCTGTCCATCCAGTCTACTTGCTCCCATGGCTAGTGGCCACCCCACTTCACAAGCATCTCTTAAGGTACAGAGAGACCGATGGAAGTGTTGGCATTAGATTCTGAGTATTAAGCTCTGTTACTTACCAGTTGTGAGAACCTGGAGAAATATTTAACCTCCCCAAAGCCTCTGTTCCCTTATCTGTAAAATGGGAATGCAGTTTTCCAAGTGGTCAGGAGGCTTTACAAGGGAATATATTTGCATTAAAGTCAGCTCCATCGTGGGAGACCCAGCAGGGGGCTTGGAGGGGGGGGGGGGGAATGATTGGGGGGGGCTCTGTCCATGGTGCTGAAAGATGGGCACCAGAAGATAGGGTGGATTGATTGATTGATTGAGACGGGTTTCGCTCGTTGCCCAGGCTAGAGTGTGATGGTGTGATCTTGCCTCCCTGCAACCTCCGCCTCCCTGCAACCTCCACCTCCCTGCAACCTCCGCCTCCCTGCAACCTCCGCCTCCCTGCAACCTCCGCCTCCCTGCAACCTCCGCCTCCCTGCAACCTCCGCCTCCCTGCAACCTCCGCCTCCCTGGTTCAAGCAATCCTCCTGCCTCAGCCTTTAGAGTAGCTGGAATTACAGGCGCCGGTCACCACACCCAACTAATTGTTGTGTTTTTAGTACAGGCAGGATTTCACCATTTTGGCCAGGCTGGCCTCGAACTCCTGACCTTGTGACCTGCCCACCTCAGTCTCCCAAAGTGCTGGGATTACAGACACTAGCCACAGTGCCTGGCCAAGATAGGGAATTTCTACATAGACTTGCCTATCAAGGCGGGAGAGGCAGCAAAATCAGTGGTGTCAGAGACAACTGTGTCCGTACCCACAGCCTCTTCAAGAGATAGATACAAGGGGAAGGAAGGGTGAATGATATACCACAGACACCGACACACACATACCCACATGCACATACAGATAGATGTATGCACAAAGACAGACACACCATGCACAGACAGAGACACACAGAGGCATGCACTCATATATGCAGGGACACACAATTAACATGCATGCACTTCTCTAAGGATGGCCTGGAGTATAGCAGCTCCAAGATGCTCTATAATGGGAGATTTCCTGGCGGAACAAGCTCAGAAAATGCTGCATGCTATCACCTACCCCTGCCCTGGCCCCTGGCCCCTGGCCCCATGTGGGTGTACAGAATCATAGTGGAAAGCTCTGGGATGGGAGGGTGTAGGGGGCTAGTTTTATAATTCATCCAGTCAACTAAATCTTGGCTCAGCACCTGCCACGTGCCGAGTACTGTTCTGTGAAAAATCTTGAATCCGGCTGGGCACAGTGGCTCACACCTGTAATCCCAGCACTTTGGGAGGCTGAGGTGGGCGAACCTCTTGAGGTCTGGAGTTCGAGACCAGCCAGGCCAATATGGTGAAACCTGGTCTCTACTAAAAATACAAAAATGAGCCAAGTGTGGTGGTGGGCATCTGTAGTCCCAGCTACGTGGGAGGCTGAGGCAGGAGAATCACTTGAACCCAGGAGACAAGAGATTGCAGTGAGCCAAGATCGCACCACCGCACTCCAGCCTGGGCGAGAGTGAGACTCCATCTCACAAACGCGTACACACACAAGAAAAGAATCCAGCATTTTCCCAGGTGATTTGAACACAAGATCGTTTTCTCTAAACATCAACATTCCCTGGAACCTATACCCTTAGGGAAACGGGAATATGTGGAGTGAACATTTCCAGATGAACGCTGCCTTCAGGCTGGGGAGAGTAAGCCGGGTGGAGGGTCCCTTTCCACTCAGCTGTCTGTCCCCCTCCCCTGGGACTGCCTGTCACACCTGCCCCGTGCCCAGGACTCCTCCATGTCCTGCCTCCTGGGAGCACCCCCCCTCCCTTTATTTTTTTGGAGACAGTCTTGCTCTCATTGCCCAGGCTGGAGTGCAGTGGTGTGATCTTGGCTCAGTGCAACCTCTGCCTCCCAGGTTCAAGTGATTCTTCTGCCTCCACCTCCTGAGTAGCTGGGACTACAGGCATGGGCCACCACACCCAGCTAGTTTTGTATTTTTAGTAGAGACAGGGTTTCTCCATGTTGGCCAGGCTGGTCTCAAACTCCTGACCTCGAGTGATCTGCTTGCCTTGGCCTCCCAAAGTGCTGGGAGTACAGGTGTGAGCCACTCTGCCTGGCCAGGAGCCTTTCTTTCCCTTCAGGCCTTGTGCGTGTCCCCCTCCCACCCCCAGGAGGGCAGAGATTGTGCCTCTTGAGGTCACTGCTGTGCCCCCAGACTTAGCAGAGTCCCTCAAAGGAAAGATGTGCCCCATAAACATCTACTTTGTTGAAGGGTTCGTGAGCAGGGAGCGCTGCCCAGCCTCACCTTGCTGTGGGTGAGCCGCTCCAGCACAGGTGCGTGACAGGGCTGACAGCAGGTGCCATTAGAACCCGCATTCCTTTCTCTACCCGAGACCCACACAGCGCCCAATAGGCACAAAACTGGTGCCCAAAAGACATCTGCCGTACGAGGGCTGGCTGATGACCACCCGAGGGCATGAATACACCAATAATACATGCCATGTGACACCAGAGCCCAGGTCCACTGCTGGGTTCAGTGCAAGCTGATACCATGCTGGTTATGTGAGCCGGCCGAGTTCTGGATTAGAGTGAACTGCAGCCTGGGGGATGAGTGCAGAGCCTGGATTAGAGCCGGGCTCCCCTCCTGGAATCTTTGCTCGTGCCTGGTAAGGCACAGCCCCTCTAGTGAGTAAACACGGGCTTGGGAACCCCCCTCCCCACACACAGTCACACAAGGCAGGCAAGCTCTTCATTCCACAGGGCAGGAAAACAAGGGTCAGAGAGTTGAGGCCACTTGCCCAGGGTCTCACAGCCTGAAGGGCAGGGTAGAGACTGGCCCTGGGTCTTTCTTGCTTTAGGTGTCAGCTCCTGCCATCACTTCCAGGGCAGGTAGAGAAGGCAGGCCTGAGACTCAGAGTCCCTGATGCTTACAGGGCACCTCTCATCCTCCCAGGCCTCCAGGAGCATCCAAGGCCAGAGCTCCACAGAATGATCATGGGGCACTGAGAGATGCTTCCTCAGTCTCTGCTAATCCAGCCTGCTCTGAACAAACCAAGTTTCAGCCCCTCCTTTCGAGTGACCTGAAATTCCGAAATAAACTGAAATGCAATGCCAGTTGTCTCAGCAAGGCACTGGCCACCTGAGAACGTGCTTTTCTGACCCACAATCACTCCCCTCATCCTCCAACAAATCCTTCAGGATCTGTAGACCTTCAGTGGCTCTGGTTTCTGAGTCCCCATCCTCCTGATGAGGCCCCGGGACCCTGCTCAAGCACGTGAGGGTGTGAAAGGGCAGATTCAGGGCTCTAACTGGAAGTCCAACTTCCTCCAAGTTCCTCTCAACCACCCAACCCGGAAGTGAAAGACGCCTGCCTGCAGTGTGCCTCCTTCCATGGCTCCTGAGTAACTGCGGCTCGGCCAGGTTGGAAACAACCCTTTGGGACCTTCACTGTAGCCTCCCAAGGCTCCAGGAACCCTGTTGTCACGGGTGAGTCCCCCCAACACCCCACATCACCCCCGCCATAATGAACAACAGCGCTCACCTGGCAGGGCAGACCAAGTGACCAAGTCCCTCAGGCATGCACAGTGCCTGAAGTGCCGGCTGGACTGTGGCATCCCTGCCCTTCCCCAAAGGCACTGGCTGGCTTGTCCCCTGCAGTAGAGACAGCCGAGCGTACCCTCCTCCTCCCGTGCAGGTGTCCTGTCCCAGGCCGTCCCCCTCTCCCAGCCTATTTTGCAGGGAGAGGCAACTGTGGGCCAGCCCCTACACAGGCCCAGGCACGGAGATGTGTGCCTTCTGCAGGCCGAGCCTCCCGGGAGGCAGGAGGAGGGTGCTTTTGAGGTTAGGGGTGGGAGTCCACATGATAGGAGAGCAGAGGAAGCTGGCCGCCCCTGTAAGAGTGCGGCTGAGGCTATGGGGCTCCTCCCGCAGCAGCGAGTAGACATGTCCCCAACCACAACCCGTCCAAGGGCTTCCTAGCCTTGTGAACGCTGCAACCACAGTGAGGATACTCTGGCCAGGCTGCTCCTGCCCAGTGCTCTCCACGGGCTCCTCCCACCACTCTGATGCTGCTGCCCCAGCAGGAGCCTCTGTTTATCCCTCCCAAACTCAAAAACCACGCCGAGGGGGACGTTTGGATAGTGCCATTTATTGATCTACCCCCGCTTCCTCCAGCAGGCCCACCCAGGCCAGGGACAAACGGGCACCCGCCCCTGCAGGGCTTCGCTGGGCACAGGGGCAGCCTGTGCTACCCGGAATCCAGAAGGGGAAGGAACAACTTGAGCTCTAAGAAACGATGGGACCCAGAGGGCAGGAAAAAATTAATGGACTTTTGGGGAGGAGGCGGGGGAGTCAAAAGGTGGGCTGATTTAAAGAAAATTCTAAAAAGGGGCCCCTACTTCCCTTCCCTCTCTGGGAACCTCTAAACTGCAAAGGGCCTGATTTCCCCCTTCCTCGCAGCACCCTACCCCGGGGGAGGAGGCGGCAAAAGGCCTTGCTGTTTGAGACCCTGGCTGCTGCAGTTCTTGCCATTGTCCGTCTCTGGCTCGCAGGCCGAGAACTTAGGGAGGGCGGGCCAGGCTGAGGGGGCAGTGTCAAGGCGGAGAAGTGAACTGGCCCTGATGGCCCCTGGTGTCCACGTGGACAGTGAGGGGGCAGAGGGACGGGGACCCCGGACGCCCGCCGCGGGGTCCATCGCACCCTTGGCCGCTTGTCCCTGGGTCTCCTGGTCTTGCACACGGTGGTCATTCCCGCCAAGCCCGAGGGGCCCTGCCCCCCCCGGGCCCCCACCCCTACCGGCCCTCCCCAGCCCGGCACTCGGGGCACCGCCCACCCGCACCCTCCTCCTCCTCCTCGTCGTCGTCGTCCTCCCCGCCGGCCTGGAAGTAGCTCTGTCCGCAGCTGCTGCAGACCGCGGGCGCGCCCACCGCGTGGATCCTCTTGTGTCTGCGCAGCGCGGCGCCCTGCACGAAGCCCTCCCCGCACTCCACGCAGATGTGCGCCGGCTCCTCGCCGCCCGCCGCCCCGAGCCCGTCCCCGTGCTGCGCCCGCTGGTGTGCCAGGAGCCCAGCCCCGTGCCCGAAGCCCTTCCCGCACTCCAGGCACACGTACGGCTTGGGGGCTGGGGCGCGCCGCGAGCGGGGCCCTGTGGCCTTGGCCCCCGCACCCGCCATGGCTGCTGCTGCGGCCGCGGCCCCCTCACCCGGCGCGCCCACCACGATGATGCCCTCGCCGTCGCCCACCGGGATGGCGATTTCGCCGTCCGCTGCCTCCTCGGGCCCCTTGGCCCGGCGCACGCTGGCCGCCAGCACCTTGGCCGCCACGCCGGGCCCCGACAGCTCGGGGTGCAGCCGCAGGTGGCGCGCGAGGCTCTTGGGCTGGCTGAAGCCGCGGCCGCAGCGCGGGCACACAAAGGGCTTGAGGCCACTGTGCGAGCGCCGGTGCTTGGCCAGGCTCTTGCTCTGCGTGAAGCTGCGGCCGCAGTCGGGGCAGGTGTAGGGCTTCTCGCCCGTGTGGATGCGCTGGTGCTGCATGAGGTTGGAGCTCCAGCTGAAGCGCTTGCCACACTCCAGGCAGGCGTAGGGCTTCTCGCCGGTGTGGATGCGCCGGTGCTGCACCAGGTGAGAGCTCTGCGAGAAGGTCTTGCCGCAGTCGGCGCAGGCGTTGGGCCGCTCACCCGTGTGCGTGCGCTGGTGCCGCGTCAGCTTGGACCAGTGGCTGAAGCTCTTGCCACACTCGTTGCAGATGTAGGGGGCGGGCGGCCGCGGCCGGGGAGGAGGACCGGCTGGGGGCGCGGACTGGGGCGGGGACAGCTTGGTGGGAGGCCAGCTGGGGACGTCGTCGTCATCCATGATGAGGATATCCACTGCAAGGCAAAGCGGTGGGAGCGTGAGTCAGGCAAGGGCTCCGCCCAGGCCTCGGCTGCCTTGCTCACCACGGGGCTTTTCCAGGCTTGCCTTGGCGCGGGACCCGCCCTGATGTCTTCAGAGCACGCATCGTTCCCTGCATTTTACTAGGCATTTATTACCCCTCTCCTTGCCTAAGAGTTAAGACCCTTGATTTACCCCCAAGCTCTAGAACACCCTCAACACAGAAGGCCCAGTCTGTAAGCAACCAGTCCACATAAGAGGTGAGAGCTGGGGACCCACAGAGGGCTCCCAGGAAAGGACCCTGGGACCCAAAGCACCAGCCTGGACGCAGGGGCACAGGATGAGGAAGGCCAGGGACAAAGGTTCCGCTGGGCAGAGGCCACAGGGCTTGAGTGCAACCCTGGACACATGGCCTGAGCCAGCCGGTGGGTTCTGCACCCTGCACTGGTGCCCTCAGAGGAGTGATGGTGTCACGTTTGGGCTCCAGGAAGACAGTCCTGGTTACAGGTGGAGTGGGCAGGGGGCAGTGGACACAGAACGGGATTGGACGCCAGCATGAAAACCGCGCCTCACAGCCTGAGAGTGCAGCCCCACTCAATGCAGCCCCCACTACAGAGGGTCTCGCCAGCCCCAGGTCGGGGGCTCCTGGCTGCACACTGACGACGCCCTCACTGCAGCCAGCAAGGCCTCTCCTGCTCTGCACCAGGCCTGCCTCTGGGGGAAGTCTCCCGGAGGGGTGGCCTTGCCGCCTCCCCACCTCCTTCCTCCTCAGAAGGGTCTGTGTGCAGCTTCTACATTGGCTCTCCCTGCAGAGCCCAGTCCAGAGGTACAGACTCAGGTGTGGGGGGGGTCCCAACAAGTCAAATCTCTCAGCCCGGTAGACACCCCGGGTGCACCCCACAGGGTTTCTTCAAAGCATGAATGACAATTACAACGTTCTCACTGTAGACTGTAAGCAAGCTCCCAAATCTCCATCCCAACACCTGGCACCGTGCCCAGCACAGCCCAGACCATCTCAGACACCAAGCTGGCAAATAAGGAAGGGCCATGACGTCCCTGCTTGACACACTTCCACGTCCATCAAGTCCTCATGGGGGAGCCACGAAACTAAGCCTTTACCAGGAGAAACTGAGGCACTAGTAAGTTAATCACGGCCCACAGCCACACAACTGCAAAGTGGCAATCCCCAGAAGCACACTAGTAGTGCGGGCCCAGCGCTAAATCCCCACCCCACCCACAGCACACCCTACACACTAACGGAGCTTGCCACAAGGTGGGGTCCTGCAACCAGCAACGTGGGCACCACAGAAAACATTAAAAACGCTGAGGCACAGCCGGGTGCAGTGGTTCTCGCCTGTAATCCCAGCACTTTGGGAGACCAAGGTGGGCAGATCACTTGAGGCCAGGAGTTCGAGACCAGCCTGGCCGACATGGTGAAACCAGCTCTCTACTAAAGATACAAAAACTTGCCAGGGGTGGTGGCCCACGCTTATAATCCCAAGAGAATGGCTTGCACCCAAGAGGTGGAGCTGCAGCGAGCTGAAGTCGTGTCACTGCGCTCCAGCCTGTGTGGCAGGGCCAGATTCTCACAAAAACCGGCTGATGCTCAGGCCTCATCCAGACCCACTGTTTGAGAAGCTCCCCGGACTGGCGCCTGTGCTTCAGCAAGCCGCCCGGTGATTCTGATGCCAGCTCCCGTGTGAGAATCACTATTCCAAGTAGAGAGTACTTCAAGATGGCTCTTGAATCACCTGGGGCAGAAGAAAAAACTCCAGGTGAATTCAGGAATCGGGGAACCTTCTGGGGGAAGAGCATGGAGCCCCTGCACTTTCAACATGAATCAAGAAGTGTAAGTTATAAGCACATTACTTAAAGACGTAGAATTAACTCGCATCAGAAGCTCTTTGCCCCAGGGCAGTGAAGGGGACAGAAGGACGGGTAGGAAGGAGATTTGGTTATCACTGTAAACCCAGTCTTACTATCTGAACCTTCCAAGTGCTTCTACGCTTCAATTAAACTCACTTTGTTTTCAAGGTTGTGAAGAAAGTATAGCAAGGCTCCCTGTGAACTCGGCTGTTGTGACGACGTGAATTCTGAATACAACCCTTGTGACACAGTGGCAGGTGAGTCTGTGCGTGGGGCAGGCATGCTGTGCGTGGAGGGTGGGGAGGAGACACATGGAAGCCACGTCCTCACCTCCCATTAGAGCTGTGACTGGTAAAGCAATTACCCAAGCTCCTTACCCAGAACCAGGGGGCAACCCAGAGTGCGTGAAGGGGCTCCTTCCTCTAGCGGCAAGCTGGGAGTGGGGGAGGCAGGAGCTGTTTCCTGCTTCAGCCCACGGGCGATGCGGCTTCCCTCCAGGTGTGTGTGCACTACTTTCTCTAAGCACGGTTAAATGGACATGGCTCAATGACTTAAAAGGCAGGGCTCTTTAACAGCTTGCAGATTCCTGGGCTCCTGCACCTCAGGGAAGCCAGGAGGAACCCGAGTGACAGAGGGACAGCTCGCTTCTGACAAGTCTGCGTCTGCACCGAGCAGGGGCCAGGACAGGCCACTCCGCTTCCTGCAGCTCGACAGCAGCCTCCCCCTCAGAGAAGCAAAGAGGCTAACAGCTCTCTCCACCTCACGGCACCATTTTCAAAGGGATTCAGCAAGTTCCCAGAAAGAGCGCGCTGAGGCGCACAGAGTTCCCCTTTAAAAAATAAGCAACCAGGAGGGCCAGGACCACTCTGCAGGTGGCCACCGGTGCCCTGGGGGAGGAAGGGCAGTGTCCCCAGACGCCTGGCCCTGGGCTAAATGTGTTCCACGGATTACCACGTTTAATCCACGGCCAAGGCCATTACTGCACTTCCCTCACTGACTGAAGGACTCAGCTCAGGTCCTGAGGGCACGAGGGGGGCTCAACTCCACATCACGCAAAGCAGGACCTCTGCCCCAGGGAGCTGCAGCTTCAGTAGAGGTTAAGCTTCCAGCACAACAGGGCAGACGGTAACACATCCAACGCAGAGCTGGAGGGCTCAACACCTAAGACAAACCCTAGGCTGGGCACAACTCCAACGCCCGCGGGGTCCCAGCGGCACCCAACGCCCCAACTGTACTCACTGCTTTTCTCTCTGAGATGGAGTCTCACTCCCAGGGTGGAGTGCAGTGACATGATCTCAGCGCGTTCTAAACCAGGGGCCCCCTTTGGCATCAGGGACTGGCTTTGTGGAAGACAGTTTTTCCAGACAGGGCGGGGAGGTAGCCGGGAGATCCATCCACGGATCTCACAGAAATCTCTGGAAAAGGGCCTGAGGTGGTTTACAAAATCCATCCCCAGCTTCACCGCAGTCTCTCTCTGCTCTGCTGCCTGTCTGCCTGCCTGCGTGGAGTCTCCCCGGCACGCTACGCCCACATGTTCCCGTGTGGACTGTGGCTGCGTGATGTCCACAAGGCCCGCAGCCTGCCAGATGGAAAGTATTTCCTCTCTGGCCCTCTGCGGCGAGGTCTGCTGAGCCCGGGCCAGTGTGGGGCCTGCTGTGCTTACGCAACCAGGAGAAGCAGCTGCACCTTATTCCGCAGGTCTCACGGCAGGCACGCAGCCTCCGTGGACAGGAGGGAGGCTGGGAGATGTCAGCGGCCATGGTGGGGTCGTTGCGGGGCCTTAGCAAGCAAACCTGGGCCCCAAGTAGCTCACAAGGGAGTTTTGCACAACCCAAATAATAGATGACTAAACAATACACGCTGGCAATGTCTAAAACGTGAAGGATTTCACATAACCCAACTGGCAGATCTGCCTGAAAAGTCGGTGTCGGCCCGTGGGTTCCCCAAACTCCTGTGCCACCCCAGGTCTGCGGAGTTTCCTGCCACGGAAGGTCACAGGGCTGTCCAAAATCAGTGGAAGGTTGAGGCTGAGGAGAGGAAGGGGGCACCCTCAACAAATGGGGGTGCTGCCAGGCTCAGGGCAAGGAGAGGAAATCGGGCAAAGAGGGTGGCTCCCAGGGGACCCCACGATCATGCAGAAGAAACTGGGAGCCACAACCCCAGCCCCTCCCTTGACAAGAGTGCAAGGACCAGGCAGGGGTCAGGAAGGCTGGGGTCAGGCGGTCTCATGCGGGACACCCCCCTCCCCGCCGTGAGAGAAAAAACAGGTAAGGGGAGGGCTTCCTCCCACCAGGAGGCAAAGGAAGCCAGGGCCAGTGGGATGGCAGCAGGGTCAGCTGCTCACCTGGATTCTCATGACTGGCCATCTGCTGGTCCTCAGAATCCAGCGGCCCCGGAGACCACGCCTCTTCCCGCAGCTCCATGTCTGGGTCCCTGTGAGAAGGGGATGAGATGGAAGGACAGGTTATGGGATGCCAGGTTGCAAAGGCCCCGCAGACCTGGGCACGGCAGGGACAGGGCCTGGCAGACAAGGCGCGCAGCGGAGCCAACCTGCCTGCTCCCCACTGAGGGCCCGCCAAGGCCGCGGAAAGGACTTACAGACGCACACAGACTGCAGCCACTGCCACTTCCCGTCCAGCTCCACCACGCCCAGCCAGACCTGGAGCAGGCAACCCCACGCTCTGCCTCAGTCTCCCCATTGGCAAGATGGAGAGCGTGTCCATGCGACACTTATGCCAACCCAGAGGGGACTGGAGATATGGACACGTCACAGCAGGAACAGGGTACCAGGAATGTGAGGGTCTCCACGCACCACATCAACCCGTCCACAAACCGTGAGGGTCTCCACGTGCCACACCACCAACCCATCCACACACCATGAGGGTCTCCACGCACCGCACCAACCCATCCATGCACCGTGAGGGTCTCCACGTGCCACACCACCAACCCATCCACACACCATGAGGGTCTCCACACACCGCACCAACCCATCCATGCACCGTGAGGGTCTCCACACACCACCAACCCGTCCACACACCGTGAGGGTCTCCACACACCAACCTGAGCCCCACACACACGCAGCTGAAGCGGGCAGCAGAGCCTGTGCCACGCACGCGAGCTGTTGAAGCAGTTCGTGCCTCTTCTCCCTTTTAGAACAGGCTCCCTGGCACCCACCTGTCATGCCAGCACTTTGGGAGGCCACGGGAAGCGGAGCAGTGGAGGTCAGCAATTTGAGACCAGCCCGGCCAACATGGTGAAACCCCATCTCTAGTGAAAACACTAAAATCAGCCCGGCATGGTGGCGCATGCCTGTGACCCCCTCCCCCCGCCCCACTTCTCAGGAGCCTAAGGCAGGAGAACTGCTTAAACCCAGGAGGTGGAGGTTGCAGTGAGCCGAGATCACACCCCAGCCTGGGTGACAGATCGACTCTGTCTCAAAAATTAATAGAAAAATAAAATGAAACCAGCTGTGAGGCAGCCCTTCCCCCACCCTCCAGCTGGCACGGAGGGAACCTGAACTTGGGCACAGATCAGGGCCAGGCAGGGCCATGGCCAGCGTGCCGTCCCAGCTTTCCAAACACAGGCCAGGGTTTCATACACTAGGAGTGCCTCAGCAACGCTCCACGGGGCAGACACAGGGCTGCCAAATAAGGGCAATTTAAAAAAACGTCCTGCCTGCCACGGGCAGCGGTGTTCACAGCTGCTCACCAGCCCCAGAGCGCTCTGTTCCTCTCCGCGGCTTCACTTGACCAGCCAAAAACAAAACACCTCCTGCATCCTACAGTAGGACCTGGGGCTTGGCCTCCCGAATCCCAGCACCCGCAGGAGACATGAGAGACCCGCCAGGGGAGCCACGGCCCCCATGGCCAGGCCCACCGAATCCCAGCACCCGCAGGAGACATGAGAGACCCGCCAGGGGAGCCACGGCCCCCACGGCCAGGCCCACCGAATCCCAGCACCCGCAGGAGACATGAGAGACCCGCCAGGGGAGCCACAGCCCCCACGGCCAGGCCCACCGAATCCCAGCACCCGCAGGAGACATGAGAGACCCTCCAGCGGAGCCACAGCCCCCACGGCCAGGCCCACCGAATCCCAGCACCCGCAGGAGACATGAGAGACCCGCCAGCGGAGCCACAGCCCCCACGGCCAGGCCCACCGAATCCCAGCACCCGCAGGAGACATGAGAGACCTGCCAGGGGAGCCACAGCCGTCACGGCCAGGCCCACCGAATCCCAGCACCCGCAGGAGACATGAGAGACCTGCCAGCGGAGCCACAGCCCCCACGGCCAGGCCCACCGAATCCCAGCACCCGCAGGAGACATGAGAGACCTGCCAGGGGAGCCACAGCCGTCACGGCCAGGCCCACCGAATCCCAGCACCCACAGGAGACATGAGAGACCTGCCAGGGGAGCCACAGCCGTCACGGCCAGGCCCACCGAATCCCAGCACCCGCAGGAGACATGAGAGACCTGCCAGGGGAGCCACAGCCGTCACGGCCAGGCCCAGGGCCCGCACTTCATGAAAACGGCTTCACTGAGCTGCGACTCCACAACGCCCCGCTTCGTACGATGCAGGGTTTAGTACATTCAGTTTCACGGCCATTGCCACATCAACTTTACGACAGCCGCATTCCCCGGCCGGGCCACCCTGCAGCCTCTGAACCCCCTTCTGTCCCTCTGGACTGGCTGCCATGTGCCCTGCCCGGGAAAGGGGCAGCACCTGTCCCTCCATGTCTGTCCTCTCCCACAAGCGTGGCGCTGCGGTGTGACAGGTGATTCGCTCCTGTCGGGCTGAACCCCACCCCATGCGCAGCCGGCCACAGTAGACCACGCGCCCACGCGTCGCTGGTGAACTACTATGGGCCTTGTGAACACTCCAGGTCAACGCTGGCGTCCACCTGTGTACTCCTGTGGACGCTCGTTTTCGTCTCCGTGGGGAGGAGACCTGCACAGGCCCGAGCGCCCAAGGGTCTTCAGTTCTGCGTTTGATCAGAGCTGCACACTGAGGTGGAGGCAGGCACAAGGCTTGACTAGCCACGAGCAGCCTGTTCCCCGGTGTGACTTCACTCCCAGGCGGGCAGGACTTCCTCCCCTCAACAACCTGAACACCAGAAGAGAAACCCAGGCCAGGCCCCGAGGCTGAATGCACTGAGTTCTGAGGAAATCTCAGCCTGCACCCTCGTTCAGGGTGGGGTCTACTGACCAGCGTATGGGAACGGGGGAGGGGAGGGGGCGTCACTGGAGCATTGGCAGAACCCACCTGAACCGAGTTTCCCAAGTCCCTCTGGTGACAGGAATCTCAGCACTATCCAGCCGCAGTGCGGGGTGCTGCCCACCCACCACTGAGGAAGCGGGTGAGTCAGATGAGAACTCAGGACGTGTTCCATCATGGAAATTCAAGTGCACAGGTCTGCTGTGTGGGTCACATGCAGCCCCGGGCCACCCCACCCCACCCCACAGTTCTAGGCCCTGCTCTAGACGGCTGACCAACTGTGAATCGGGGTCCGCCACAGCCCTCGCGGTAGGTCTGACCGCTGTCCCCATTACATAGATGAGGACACGGAGTCCCAACATCTCAGTAGGGAAAGGTGGGGCACAGAGGCACAGTTCACACACAGACCATCAGGCCCCAAGTCTTTGCTAGAACCGCCCACCCCTACATCCCCTGCAGACGCTATACTCAAACCCTGCCCAGGATCCTGCCGGCCGCACTCTCCAGGGTCCTCATTTACTGAGCACCTGTGAGGACGAAGAGACACGGGGTCACCAGGAAAAATGAAGGTCACTGGGACACATGCAGTCATTGGGAGCCACAAGGGTCACCAGGATGGCGGAAGTTCTGGCCCCAAGGCTCACAGACAGCAGGAAGGAAGCGTGTAGGGAGGGGGCAGGGAGAAGGAAGGGACAGGCAGCTCTGTTAGGGAGGCTGGGGGGCGGGCCTCAGAAAGGAGGCACCCGGAAGCAGGCCCTGGATGAGGGCTGCAGGAGGGGCTGCAGCTGCTGTGGGATGGTTCCTGCCAGGAGGACTGTGAGGCCTCTGAAGCACAGGAGATCCCTGAGATGTGGGCACTGTTCTGACGCTTGTCTCACATGTGGAACTTGAGGCTGAAGGGCCAGACCCTCAGGTCCCCTGCAGCACACGAAGAGCAGGGTCTGTGCAAGCACAGAGCCCCAGGGACTCCCAGGAGACTCACAGCTTCAGAAGCAGGAGGCAGTAAAGGTGACCCTGCCAGGAGCCGCCTGCTCCCCAGCCTCCTAGCTGCCTCCCCAGGGTCCCCACCTGCCTGCTCTTCTCTTCCTAACCCTACTACTCTGCCACTCTCTGTCTGCTTAGCTGGCCTGTCCTCCCAGGCTCTTGTGATGTCGGTGCCCACTCTGACACCCATGGGTCCCTAGCACCCAGGGCAGCACCAGGCACAGGCAGGTGAGCACACCAACAGATGGGTCTGAGCAAAGCATAGGCTGGAGACGCGACTCGGCAAATCCCAACGCTCAGTCCTTGCCAGACCCTCTCAGGAAAAGGTGAGACCCGTGCAGAAGGACAGGCCGACCTCCTCTCACACACTCGTGCAGGCTCTGGGTCCCTGGGATGGAAGCGGTCAGGCTAAACTGCTGTGAACATGCTCCCAGCCCCTGCTCAGGCTGGCTCTGCCTTTCCAGAGGCCCGGAAAGCCCACATCTCAGGAAATACTTCTTGCGGAGAGCTGCCAAGATGGTGAGGTTCCGAAAGGGGGAACCTATCAAACCCACAGCGGGACTGGACGGAGATGGACGGAGGCACCCCTCCTCCACGGGCGCCGGTGTGGTATGGCAGCTGGCACACCTCACACTCCCAGCATCAACAGTGAGTGATCGGCTGGGCACGGGGGCTCATGCCTGTAATCCTAGCACTTTGGGAGGCCGAGGTGGGTGGATCACCTGAGGTCAGGAGTTCAACACCAGCCTGGCCATCATGGTGAAACCCCATCTTTAAATTAAAAAAAAGAGTGAGTGATCTCAACCTTTTTATGTTCATGTTCCTAATATTTTAATAACAGGCAATTATGTCTTCATCAAGGGGAAAGGCCTAAAGGGCCGTTCTGGACAGCCCCTGCGCTACGCATCAGGACTGGGAGGTGGCTGGGTGCTAGGGGGCCGGCCAGCCAAGATGCCAAACAGAACAGGTCACCCCAAGGCAGCCCCAAAGGCACGGGGCCAACAGCAGGTGCAAGAAGGGGGCTCTGCCTCCGTGTTCCTTCCCGACAGCAGACGAAACCCCACGTCCAACATGTCCTCCGTATGGAGGAAGAGGACGCCTCATCACCGGCACTGGGGAGCTGAGGCTGAGACACCTGCGCAAATCAGGCCTTAGCTCTCTCGGCCTCCCCTCGTATTTCAGAAACTTGTTCACTACTGTTCAGCCGCTACTCTTGGGCATGGAAGCCATCAGGCCTAACTGCTTCAAGAATCTTCACGTTCCCAAGTCTCCTATGTGCCTGCAAAAATAACGTTCGAGAGCTTTCTCCTGTTACTCTGTTTCATGTCAACATAGACCCCAGGAGGGGAGAGGAGTTCGGCCTCCCTACATGGGTCAGAAAATTGAATGCCCCTCAAGATTACACACCACAGACCTTAAAAATGCCTCAGGAGTTCCAATGCAAGCAAAAACACGCCTCAGGGCCTGGGAGAAACACACACGGCTGAAGGGGCCAGCCGCTTTGGAACAGTCTGCTGATTCTTCAAATGATTAAACAGCGATATCCTGTTTTTCTTTCTGAGACGGAATCTCATTTTGCTGCCCAGGCTGGAGTGCAATGGCACAATGTTGGCTCATCGCAACCTCCACCTCCCAGGTTCGAGCGATTCTCCTGCCTCAGCTTCCTGAGTCGCTGGGATTACAGGCATGCGCCACCATGCCCAGCTAATTTTTGTATTTTTAGTAGAGACGGGGTTTCACCATGTTGGCCAGGCCGGTCTCGAACTCCTGACCTCAGGTGATCCATTCGCCTCGGCCTCCCGACGTGCTGGGATTACAGGTGTGAGCCACCGTGACCGGCCTCAGGTTCACGAATTACACAGTGGTGACGATCACACCACTCTGCGAATATGTTACAAACCACTGAATCGTGCACTTTAAAAAAGCAAACGTTGGTCATGGTGTGATCTCAGATAACTGCACTCCAGCCCGGGCCACAGAGCAAGACTCCATCTCAAAAAACAAAAAAAAACAAGTGTGTAATACATGAATTGATGCCTTGTACCTCGGTTAGTAAACTTTAAAAACGTACAGCCTTCTAATTACAACACCCTAACGTTAAAATGCCTAAGAATCAGCACTGTGGGAAAGGTTATAAAGGCACAAGGAAAGCAGTTCAGAGAGCAGGGCACCCAGGGGCTGAGCAGGAGCGAGGGCCCCCCGCCTCCCCTGCTGGGGAGACCTGTTTGCCAGGCGGTGATAATGTGCTTCCAGTGAAACTCTATCGCATAACTCAGTAAAAGCAGGGACTTCCCAACTCAGAGCCGCCCCCTGGCCTCCACCCCGGGCCAGCTTCCTGCAGGGCTAAGGCCTTGGCGGGCTGTGGATGGGGGAGGTGGGAGGGGCTCCTCTCAGCCACACGGCGGCCAGCAGGGATCACCTCTCACTCACTAGGGACCTGCAGCAAGCCAGCACAGGGCATGGAGCATGATTCCTGCCCTGGTGATGGGCGGGGGAATCGGGGGGAGGGAGTGGGGGGGGGCAGTCTACAGAGGCCAAAGGGCTGACCCTGGGTGGGGTGCATTGGGTGACAAACTGCCCTCCAGATACCAATGCCTTTTACATGTTCAAATGGCCACACTTTAAATGACAGCCATATACCTACATGAAAAGTGGGCTTGATTTTCCCTCTTGGTGTGTACAGCCTAAAACATGTGCTGTCTGGCCCACTGCAGGGAAAGTTTGCAGACCCTGATGTAAAGAAATGAGAGCACCAAGGTCTGGGGCACCCTTTCCAGGCCACAGCCAGGTGGAGGAGGGGAGGGAGGGGCAGCCTACAGGGAGGCCCCGCCTGGGGCTCCGTGCTCCAAAGCTGCTGCTCTGAATTCCGAAGGCACAAGGGCACAGCGCTGGGGGGCTCACAGCCTGGGCTTGGGGGCTCTGCACCCACCCATGGGTGAAATGCCAGATAAAAAACACCCTGGCAGACCCAGAGACCTCCAGGGAAGGAAGATGCTTTTTAGGAAAAAAGGCTTTTTGCAAAAGGGTCCAAAAATTCCATAGCCAGAGGGGCCGGGGGCAGCTGAGGAGGCTTAAGGGGCCGGAGCTCGGGGTACTCTTCTAAGAGGGAAGCGGGAAGAAAGGCCGCACCGTGGTGGCTTGGGAGAGTCCTGACCTGGGACAGGCCCACACTCTCTGCATCCAAATTCCCTCTACGAGGAACACCTACCAGGGAGACAGGAAACAAATCATCTGGGCGATAGCAACACGCAGCCGTGGTAGCGTCCCCAGCAGTCAGCACCCTGAAAAGAGGCTATGCCTCTGCTGCCTCATCTGCAAAGTGGGGACAGGAAGGGCAGGTGCCCTGCAGGGCTGTGTGGGACTGAGCGGAGGCCTCTGGGTGCTCATCCGGGTTAAGTCGGGTGCCCACTCAACGCACCCCAATTCTCTTCCTCTGCCGCCCTTCCAAGCATGCACTCAGCCCTTCCTGAGGCCTGTGTCCCAGGACCTCATGGCAGGGGGAACGGAACCCTCATCTGCAGAGGTGAGTGACGGACCAGGAGAGGCAGGGACCTGAGGAAGCTCCTGACCCAGCTCTCAGGGTCCACGCCAGCTCCCTAGGAGAAGGCCCCCCACTTGCTCTCAGGGAAACCCTGGGCTACTTAAGGAACCTATCAGAGGCTAGGAATTTAACCTCTCCTGAACAGAGGGTCCCAGCCTCCCTGCCTGCCGTCTGGAAGGCTCTCCTGGCCTCCAGAGGTGCTCACCTGGCTCTGACCTCCGCTCAGCAGGGGTGCCTTCTCCTGGCCCCTGGCCCTTGAGAGAGCCAATTAGCACAAATGATTGTTATTACTGTTGTCATTAGGGCCTGCCGCCCTCTGGAAGCCTGCCTGCCTGCCAATTATGCCCTTTCTTCTGCTGCCAGTCTCAACCCTCCTCTCCCGAGCCCTCGGAAGCAACTCCTGGCCGTTCATGGCCCTCCCAGCCCAGACCCTTCTCCGGGCACCCACCTGCTTTCTGCCCCACCCAGCCCCCACCCAGTCTCTTACTCCTTCCCGTCTACCTGCAGCCTAGGGCAGCCAACCACCTCCTTCTCTTCCCCACTCATCCTCTTACCACTCAGCTCTCAAACACCCTCTGACTTTCCACCAAATCCTATGGCTCCTTCTCAGCCTGACTCCACGGCTGCTCTGCAGGGCAGGGGAGGAGCCCTGGGATTCCCAGACCGGCCATTCCCCCCACCCCACTCCCTCCAGCACAAGGGCTCCTGCCCACTCCTCCCTCCCACCCATCCACCCTCTCTCAGGGCTTTGGCTCCCTCCCACCAGGATCCTGGCTCCCAGGCTGCCTCTTGCAAGTGCCCTCCCCACACCACACCAACTAATCTTCCTAAAGTCACTCAGTTCAAACAACCAATCAGAACCTGGACAAAGGATCTGAGCAGGCATTCCTCCAAAGAAAGACAACTATGTGGCAGGCACATGGAAGGGTGTCCTCATGAGCCGTGTGGGAGAGGCGGCTCCCTGGCCCAAATCCGCAGGGAGTCACCGCCTCACACCCACTGTGCCAGAGGAGGGAAAACAGAAAACAGCAAGTGCCGATGAGGACGAGGACAAGCGGGGCCCCCATTGCTGGGGCAAGGGCACAGCAGGTGCACCGCTGCTGTGGGAAACAGCAGTTCCTTAAAAGGTGACGCCCAGAACTCCCATCAGAACCAGCAGTTCCACGCCTAGGTATGTTTTCTCCACCCAAGAGAAAACACGTCGATCCACACAAAAATCCGTACACAAATGATCACAGAAGCATTGGGCATAACGACCAAAATGTAGAGATGACCCAGATGTCCATACGGATGAACTAATAATGGTCCATCCATGACCAGCAGGGAACGCAACTCAGCCACAACAGGCGTGGAGCTCCGCTGCAACCGGGACAACCCCGCATGCTGGGTAAAAGGAGGCAGACGCAGAGCAGTGCAGGGTTCTATTTATACACCTGCCCACAAGAGGCACACCCCAGGAAAGAAAGCGGATCAGCGCTTCCCAGAGACCGGGACGCAGGGAGGGTTACGGAGAGGGAGGAAGGGCTGATGAAGAGCACGGCGTTGCTTTTTCGTGTGAAGAACACCTTCTAAAATCAATTGACTACGGTGATGGCTGCATAAATCACTGTACATGCTAAAAACCACTGAGCTGTACAGTTTCTTGACACAGTCTCACTCTGTCGCCCAGGCTGGAGTGCAGCGGCACAATCTCAGCTGACTGCGACCTCCCCTCCCAGGTTCAAGCGATTCTCCTATCTCAGCCCCTGCCTCCCAGTAACTGGAACCACAGGTGCACGCCACCATACCCAGCTAATTTTTTCTATTTTTTGTACAGATGGGGTTTCATCATGTTGGCCAAGCTGGTCTCGAACTCCTGACCTCAGGTGATCCACCCACCTCGGTCTCCCAAAGTGCTGGGATTACAGGCATGAGCCACCATGCCCGGCCCTGAGCTGTACACTTTTTTGTTTGTTTTGAGACAGTCTGGCTCTCTTGCCCAGCCTGGAGTGCAAGAGCACAATCTAGGTTCACTGCAACCTCTATGTCCTAGGTTCAAACAATTCACCTGCCTCAGCTCCTGAGTAGCTGGGACTACAGGCAATGACCTGCATACTTTTAAAGGGCAAACTGTACACTATGGGAATCATATCTTAATAAAACTGTTTACATTAACAAAAAACAATTCAGTTCACGACCTCCTTGCCCAAACCGCTGCCCTGCCCCTCATTCCCAAATCCAGGTTCCTCCGCAGGCATCTGTGCAAACCCTGCTTCCAGCCCGCCCAGACCTCCTGTGCCCTGCACTGCTCCTGATGCACCAACAGGCTCGCTCCTGGCCAGGTCTGGTGCTCCTCTCTAGGGACCTGCCCACTCCTCCACCTGCCCCGCTTAGCCTCACGTTTCAAGGATCTGCTCAAACACCAGCCTCTCCCTGAGGCCCATGCCCCACCTTTCCCATGGCAGGGCTGACTTCCTGGCCGGTCAGCATCTTCAGTCACCACATCACGAGCGTCCCGTCTATTGATATGTCCTTCCTCAGGCTCTGCATCTGCTCTTGGGTGCAACGCTCCCTAAGGGCGGGTGCCAGGGGTGCCAAGCACCGGCTGCCGCAGTCCCCATGGCTGTTTCCAGAATAAACACCGCCGCCCAGCCCCTCCCAGAGCCCCTCCAGCTAGCCTCCTCCATGCTCCGGGCGGGAGGCGCCCACAGCATAACCCCTCCACTCCCCCACTAGCCCCTTCCCATAGCCGCTTCGTCCCTCACTCCTGGCCGGAAAACCTCATTCTTCTCGCTCCCCAGGCTAGGCCACATCCCAAATCAGGCCCTCATTTCCTCAGCCCTGAGATGTCTGTGTGACAGGGCTGAGATCCCAGGCCTGCCCTTCCTGAGGGTGCTGGGGAGAGTGCCAGGGCACCCTCTCCTGGAACATTCTAGAGTGACTGATATGCGGAGACCCTGCCCCTCCTCTGAGCCGGTTTCGGCAGGTCACGTTCTCCTGGAGCGCAGCCTGCACCTCCCTGGGGCAGGGCTCAGGGCGCAGTGCTCAGCCGTCCCCTGCTCTGGCTCCCCTTGCCCTCTCCTCTCCAGCGCGGCTCGGAGCCTCTATTTCACTGCTTTCTTCTTTCCTGCAGCCTCCCACCCGCACCACCCGCACCTGCCCCATCAGAGCTGCCTTCCTCCGGTGCACCAGCACAGCCACTCACAGCCCCAGAGGGCCAGAGAGCGGGGCTCCCAGACCCACACTGCAGCCTTCATCTACCCTGAGGTGCAGCCCCCTGGGAGGACTCGGTGCCTGCAGACCTGCAGATCCCTGCGGCTCTCAGGGCAGGCGAGTGGGTGACCGAGAAGTAGGTAACTGTTATAAACAAGCACAACAGTCTTGAGGCCAAAAGTCCCCACACACCCACAAGGTACACTGTGGACTCTGGTGATCAGGCAGTGGTGTCCACGTGGGTTCATCCACCGTAACAAATGCACCGCCCTGGAGTGGGAGTTGACGGGGCGGGGGAGGCTGTGGGGGTCGGGAGCAAGGGGATATGGGAAGTCTGTGCACCTTCCTGTCAATTTAAAACACATAAAGCCCTTAGTCACTACTTGGGTAGTTGAGGAGCCAAGATCACTGAAGCCCAGGCATTCGGACCAGCCTGGGCAACACAGCAAGACCCTATCTCTTAAATATACATACATACATACATATATATATATATGAAATAAAAACCAACCCTTTCTATGAAAACACACAAAACCACACCCACGGAGCACCTTATATCCTGTCACCCCTCAGCGGGACCAATGGGGCAGGCCAGCCGTTTTACAGATAGGTGTGGATTCCCTACCAGGCCCTGTGCACAGCCCCTTCCTCCCACCTTGAGGGTATCTGCTTGGCCCACCTGCCAAGGCTCAGCGCCCTCAGCAAGGAAGGTGCTTAGAAGGAAGCCCTTCTAGACCCCTCCCTTCCCTCAGCTCTGTCCTCTCTTATCCAGCGACAGAAGATCACAAACATCAACCACAGGTTAAATCCCACGTCCTGGGTGCAGGGTGCCCTAAGCACATAAGCTCTGATCTGGGCCCCACAGTCACGCCGTGAGAGACTGTGTGAGGCCATGAGGCCAGCACAGGGGCAAGAGGACAATCGCTCTGGGCGGGCCAGGGTCGGATCCGGCCCCCCAGGAACCAGCCACATGACCTGGGCAATGCGTCCATGCATAGCTTGGGCTATGCGTCCCTCCTGATTGACATGACATGTGTCAAGTGCTCCCCCAAAAGCCAGATGCTAAGGCACCCACTACATACCACTTATCACTTTGGTCACCCGAGTCGCTGGACGCCAAAGGCACCTTGTTTCCCTCTAACTCCTGGGACACTGGCATTTGTTCCCTTTTAATGCCCACCACTAGGGATGGTCCTGGGTTCCCAGGGGCATCTGCATCCTACTCGCCCCCACAGGGCATCCAGTGGACAGTGCACGTGAGGACCTTTCGCACAGCAGCCTCAGGAATCCATGGCTCTGACTGGCCTGACCCTGCCTGAGACCAGGACCACTTCTGGTGCATCTCTGGGGCCCAGCATCACCCACTGCAAGGCCTGGCACTACTGAGGCCCCGAAACAGGGGGGCCAGGTAGGATCCCCATTTAGCACAAGAGAGACGTCTGTGTTCTGTGAGCCCAGAGGGAGAAGGCTCAGGCCAAGGCAGAGGCAGAACCAGGAACACTTCACTAAGGAGGGCCCCGGGGTGCCAGGTCCCCCGCAGGAACAGATGGACCCCGGGCCACCCACCCTGGGCTCAGAGCTGGGGCTGGTTTCTTGGCAGCAGTAAGGCGACAGCTCTGGGCTCCGGGACACGGCCACTGGCACTGGTAGTGTGACTGCCCCAACCCCACACCCGCCTTGCCCTCCCTGATGCTGGGTGAGTGAGGTCTCCTTGGTGGCTGCATGGGTCTCAGCACTCAACTTCCGTGCCACTTCTGCTTCTCCACCATGCTGGCTTCCTCAGAAGCAGCCAGCAGCCCTGTGTGGAGAGTCCTCACGGATAGGACACCCCCCTGGGCAGAGAGTCCAACGCACCCAAGCAGCCAACAACTAACACCCACAGGACCTGGGGACGGCCTTTGTTTCCCCAGGCCCCAACCTGGAGCAGAAGAGGGAGGTCATGGCGTTCAAGGGCCTGCGCTTGGGAATCACCTGTAGACTTGGGTTCTGAAGCTGCTGGGGGCCTTGGGCTAACACGTGCAAGCCCGAGCCTCCGTCCTGAGCCTCCACATCCCCCTACAACGGGGGTGACCACCTCCATCCCAGGGCCTTGAGAATTTAGGACAGTGAGGACTGGGCACTAGGCCAGGTTCCGGCAAAGTGTTCACCAGCAGGTGTTGTTCAATCCGCAGCTTCTCACACTATAGAGGCCCCAGCACCCAGCACAGGCTGGAGGCCTCAGGATGCCCCAGAGGACGCATGAACGAGGTTTGCAAAGGCCTGTGGGACGTGCCTGAGGATGGATATACTGAGGGCTGTGCGTGCCTAGTAACGAAAGACCTCCCATGGCAGCCAAGCAGTAGCTGGTGGCCTTGAACTGTGACTCCTGCCGTTCCCTGCCCAAAGCCCACTGTCACCCTCGTCTAGGTACCAGCCTTCTGGAAGCCAATCCCTCCTTTCTATCCTTCAATACACACACCCTCCCCTGCACCACTCACCCCTCCCTCTATGCTGAGAGCTCCCAGGACCCCTCTGGCAAGTCTCCCCCACCCATCTGCTTGGTGTGAGTACGTGAAGGTATCTCCCTCGGGGGTCTGAGCTATGCTGGGACAGGCACTGTATGATTCCTGGCAGGCTGCCCAGCACTGAGCACCACTGTACCTTGCGCTTGCATTGGGGTCGGGGGGCTTGAGACTCTGCTCTTCACCCAGGCTGGGCCAGGCACCTCGTCTGGGACCTCACAGGACAGCGCTGTGCCAAGACCACGTGTAATGCCATGCCCAGCATGGGGCCTGGCCAGTGCGGCAGCCTGGATGGATTACGTTTATTCAGGGAATGGTGGCCTTGCTCTCCTTTTTTAAGCAACTGAAGGGAAATTAAACCCGGGAAAAAGGAAGTGACATGTCCAAGGTCACAGAAGTGGAAGAGACAGCGCCAAGGCCAGGGCCCAGGAATGCCTGCCTCGGGAGACCTTTCCAACTACTTCACACACATCTGTTGAGGTCTGCTCTGGCTTTAAAATAAAAGCACTAAGAACCTTCCCACTGAGTCAATGCTATTATTGCTACCCTCACTCTGTCCCGGTGGGAAGACACTCGTCCAAGTTACTCGTCCAAGGCCACAGAGGTGACTGGTGGGGCTGGGACTTGAACCCAGGCCTGCCTGGTCCCAGAGCTCCTGGGGAACACAACCCAGTGCCTGCACATACTCTGGCAATGCGCCAGGGAGGGGCCAGGCGGGGTGATGAGCCCTTTCCATCCCTCAGCTCTGCTGAAGCCTGGATGGATGGATAAGAGGTGAGATAAGCAAGCAGGAATCTGATCTGTATGTTTTCTGGGGCCCAGGCAGCAGGACCACAGGGCAACTGCGCAGAGGCAGGCAGGTGAATGTCAGCTGCGTTTAGCCAAAGAGGCTTACAGTCTTACAGAGGAGCTAAGCCAGGATCGACGCAACTGTGCTTCCCGGTGCCAGGGCCAATCGGATCCCCAAATGGGTCGTAAGCACTGCCCAACATGGGGCCTGGCACCAGGAAACTGCAAAAAGCAGACCAAGTCATTCCTTCCCTAAAGCCCTGCCCATCCCCCGGACCCAGCTGAGTCAACATGCCTTCCCTGGCTCACACAGCCCCCAGACCTCCCTATCGGGGGTCTCGTGACCTGGGGTAGCGACTCTGTGGCTCAGGTCTCAGTCTCTGCCCTCAAACCCGACTCCGGGCCCTTGTTACCTCCCTGCGCCCTGTCTCTAGCGCCAGGCACAGAGCCTGGCTTTGACCGAAAAACCTTCAGCCTCCACGCACTCCTGCCTTCTGTATCTGGGGTCACTTTTCCGTCCGACTCTGCAGGTCCCAGGGGCACTCGTACATATCAATTGGGGTCATCTCCCCGAACTGGGAGTCGGGGTGGGGTGTCAGAGGGGCGGGGCTCCACTCTGATCCCCTCGACGCCGGCGAGGGAGGCCTCAGGAATCGCCAACTGGTCCAGTCCCCGCCTTCGCCCTGCCCCGTGGGCCACGCGGTGGCTGACCTTGGCCCAGTCACTTCCCCCCCTGGGGACGCGCCTCCTGCCCGCCTGCCGCGCAAGGGCGAATGAATGGGCCTCCCGCCGGCCCGAATCCCCGTAATTACCCGCCTGATCAAAGGCCACGCGCAGCCCGCCCGGGGCAGCAACGGGACCCGGGCTGACTCGAAAAGGGGAAGGAAGGGCTGGTGGGGGGGGCCGAGGGCTGAGACCGTGCCCTCGAGGCCGCGGTATCCGGCCAGACCAGCCCGGCCCGCGCGGCCCCTTCCCCCACTCGGGCCTTAACTTCCCTCAGGAGTCGCCACCACTTCCGGCCACGACCGGCGGAGTTGGGACGTGAGGGGGACGGACAGCGCCCCCGACCCCGAGGGCCCGCAGAAAAAAGACCCCAACCAAGGCCCCCCCCCGCCCCAGCCCGCGCACGCGCGCCCCCCTCCAGCGCCGTTCGCCGCCCGCGGGCCGCCCGGGCACACGTCCCCTCCCGACGCCTTCGGCGCGCACGCGCACTCCCCCCGCCCGCGTCACCCCGGCCGCGCGCCCACTCACGCCCCCCCAGCAGCGCGCACGCGCGCCCGCCGCCCAGTCGCGCTCGCCCTCCCGTCTCCCCACCCACCCCCAGACCAAGCCCAGCTTCCCGAAGCGCGGGCCCACCCGGCCCCCAGTGCACAGCCCTCGCCCCCGCCCCTCACCTCCTCGGTCCCGGGGCCGCCGCGCCTCACTCCTCCTCCTCTCTCCTGCCTCGCGGATGGTGGCAGCGGCGGCAGCGGCGACTCAGACCCTGGGGTCAGGGGGACGGGCGCCCAGGCCGGAAGTGACCTTCCCGGCCGCTTCCGCCCAAGCCGCTCCCCCCTTCCCTCGGCGCCCTCCCCTCGGGCCGCCACCCTGTCCTCACCGCTCTAGGAAGGCGAGCCCGCTACCCCGGCCGCCGCCCCCAGCTCTATGGTGCCCGGCGGGGACCTGAGGGAGCCACTTCCGGACGCGTCTAGGACGCAAGTCCTCCGTCCATGCTCTATGGCGCCCCGCGCCGAGGGGCTTCGGCCCCGCCCCCTTCCTGGACAGGAGGTGCGGGCTGGGCCCGTTAGGCGGAGACTTCCGGGTGTCGAGGGCGGTGCCCCCCCGCCCCCCAAGCCCGGGCTCCTCGCGCCTGCGCGGCCCGCTCCCCGCGCTGGCCACGGGGAGAGTGTGAAGTGGCGGAGAGGGACGCTCGTGCCACCACGGGTCCTCCTGCCGTCTCTATCATGGTAACCCCTTCTATGCCGCCGCTCCTCCCGGTGGCCCGAGTGCAGGTGCCCAAAGGGCTCCGTCCCGTGCGAACCCGGATTCCTCAGTTACTGGATGGAGAGTGCTGCGCTTCAGGTGTCATAGCCTCAGTTTCCTCCTTTCTGAAGTAATAAAAATACACTCTGGGCCTCCAAGTGCTTCACATGCGCTAGGTCCTCATTCTAACTAGGGCCTCGGGATAGGTCCTGTCCCCATTTTGCAGATGTGGAGTCAGATCACCTACCGAAAGTCACACACCCGGAATCCGAGAGCCCGGGCCCGAACCAGTGGAGTTTGGCTCCAAATTCGTGTATTTAACCCTTGACTGTACACACTGCCTCCTGCCATGGCAGCTGAGAATCCACCACTTCCCGGTGTTGGGTGGCCACCTAAGCACGCACTGGATGTTAGCTGGGACTTGGTACTCGTTCAAAACACACACAGTTTAAGATCATTGTCCAAACGGTGGTGTCCTTCTGGCTCCTCCTCTGTTCTGCACTTGGCTGACTCTCCCCTAAGTGAGAGTGGCAGATGACTTATCGTTTATAATTGTTTTATTATCACCTTTATTGGGAGTCAGAAATACAGGAAGCTACAGTTCGCTTGTGGAATAACGCCTTTCTCAGCCTCAGTTTCTCATCTGCGAAATGGGGAAAAGTAAGATCACATGTGAAGTAGTACGTGTAAAAGCTGCTAATTCTTTATCGGTGCGGGCTGGGCCCGTTAGGCGGAGACCTCCGGGTGTCGAGGGCGGTGTCCCCCCCGCCCCCAAGCGCAGCACTCTCCATCCGGTAACTGAGGCATCTGGGTTCGCAGGGGACCTGGACTCATTACTGGCCTTGTAGTAAACTCACACAAATGTTAGTGGGCCTTATTACTTATTAGTGTTATTTAAAGTCTATTGCTGCGGCTACTGTGCACCCTCAAATCTCAGTCAGCATCAGTCATAAGATGTGCATTATTGATTTAATAGCATCTTTCCGTGGGGTGGGGGCGACCGTGCTGTATTAAATTTGTGTGTCAATAGGAAGATGTCTGCGTCCCTCGTTGAAGTATCACAAAGGTAAATTTTTAAATATACCTTAGAACATAAGGACGTGTGGCCAGGCATGGTGGCTCACGCCTGTAATCTCGGCACTTTGGGAGGCCGAGGTGGATGGATCGCTTGAGGTCAGGCGTTCGAGACCAGCCTGACCAACATGGTGAAACCCAGTCTCTACTTAAAGATACAAAAATTAGATGGGTGTGGTGACGCTCACCTGTAATCACAGCTACTCGGGAGGCTGAGGCAGGAGAATCACTTGAACCCAGGAGACGGAGGTTACAGTGAGCTGAGATCACCCCACTGCACTCCAGCCTGGGCAACAGAACGGGACTCTGTCTCAGAAAAAGAGGAAAAAAGAACAGAGGGAAGTGCTATTAGAATAGACACAAACTATGAAAGGTATGAACCGCACACGAGGAAAGCCGTGCGTAGGAAAAGCCGCGTGCTGCTGCTCCTCTGAATCAGATCATTCGGTGGGTGTCCTGCAATGACCTGGTGGTTGGGAGGGACAGCCTCCCCCTCTCCCAGCTCACGCCCCTTCCTCACTGGGCAAACTGACAACCTGACGGCGAGATCTGGAACCGCTACCTTGGCACCCCAGGTGGAAGCCAACCCTGAGAATGGAGGAGAAACAAGACAGAAGGAGCCAGCTGGACACTGCCTGGCTCCGTGAGAGAGGCTCCCTGCCAGCTGAGACCTTACGGGAGAGAAATCACGTTCACACTCACTGAAACCATTGCTAATTCTGAGTCTCTCTCTTAAGACAACCAAACCAATAGCGGCACGTTTCCCAAACGTGGGATGGGTTGCAGCAGACATGGCCAGTTCACAGTTAACATCTGTCCTTCCCTTCCACAGTACCAAATCCTTCCCGGGACGCTGCTTCCCATCCATGGCTTAGGTTTCCACTCCTCTTGGCGTCTAAGCGTGGCCTTGTGATTGCTTCTCGCCAATGGGATGGGATGGAAGTAATACAGGCCTCTTCCAAGCCAAGGCTCTTAAGAAACATGTATGCCCAGGCCGGGCACAGTGGCTCATACCTGTAATCCCAGCACTTTGGGAGGCGGAGGCGGGAGGATCATGAGGTCAGAAGTTTGAGACCAGCCTCGCCAACATGGTGAAACCCTGTCTTACTACTATTTTGTAAAAATACAAAAATTAGCAGGGCACAGTGGTGGGTGCCTGTAATCCCTGCTACTCAGGAGGCTGAGGCAGGAGAATCACTTGAACCCGAGAGGTGGAGGCTACAGTGAGCCGAGATCACGCCTCTGCACTCCAGCCTGTGCGACAGAGCCAGACTGTCTCAAGAAAATAAAATAAAAATAAATACTCTACTTGCTAACACACCTTAGAGGGGGAAAAGAAAAAAATAAATAAATACAATGGAATATTATTTAGCCTTAAAAAGAAAGACGATTCTGACACATGCTACAACATGGATGAACCTTGAGGACGTGATGGTAAGAGAAATAAGCCAGTCACACAGGACAAATGCTCTATGATTCCACTTATATGAGGTACCTAGAGGAGTCACAGTCATAGAGACAGAAAGTAGAATGGGGGTTGCCAGGGGCTGGGGGAAGGGAATGGGGAGATAGCGTTTATTGGAGACAGAGTTTCCGTTTTGCAAGATGAGAGGAGTTCTGGAAATGGATGGGGGTGGTGGGTGCACAAGATGTCAATGGTTTAACACTACTGAACAGCACAGCTAAAAATAGTTGAGCCATGGCCAGGTGCAGTGGCTCACACCTGTAATCCCGGCACTTTGGGAGGTCGAGACCAGTCTGGCCAAGATGGTGAAACCCCGTTTCTACTAAAAATACAAAAATCAGCTGGGCATAGTGTTGCATGCCTGTAGTCCCAGCTATATGGGAGGCTGAGGCAGGAGAATCGCTTGAACCTGATAGGCAGAGGTTGCTGTGAGCCAGGATCACGCCACTGCACTGCAGCCTGGGTGACAAGAGTGAAACTCCATCCCCCCACCAGGGAAAAAAATAGTTAAGACATTTAATTTTGTAATATATATAGATGTATATCTTTCTACGCTTTAAACTGTTTTTAAAGGAAAAAGAAGTACCCCTGTAATGTGATGTGCCATTACCATGGGTGGGTTTGTTACAGCAGCTTCCGCCTTCCCTAACTAATACAGAGTTTTCAGCTGCTAGGTAGCAAAAACGGCAAAGCTCCCTTTCAGGGATGTATCAGCATCTAGATGGAATTTCAATCCTCAAGACTGAATAAAATTGGGTGCAGGGGTGTCGGTAAGTCTGCAGAGAATCCAGAGTGGCTGTAACCGCTTCGTCCCACTCAACGTGGCCCATCAGTGGCTTTCTCTGGATGCTTCTCTCTGGAGAGTCCACTGCTCTGGCCCAGATGCCGAGATGTGAGAGGCTGCAAAGCTCACGGCAGCCTTGTTTCGCACCATGGGGAGGAAGCCAGTCTGCAGGAGGAGACAATGAAGCCTCAGAGAGGTGAGAGCTGGAGAGAAACAACATCCCGGCTGAGTTCTGTGCCCAGGCCGTAGGCAGCGGCCTCCTCTCTGCCTAACCTTCCTGAGGGCTGGGTGTTCCACTCTTCCTTTCCTTGAGTGAGTGTCTCTAGACGTCTTCCAGGAAAGCCCCGTTTTGGATGGCACATTGATTGAGTGGTGAGCGAGGGGAACAGCCACACAGCTCTGTAGTAATCTCGAAGGTCGGAGGTCCCTGGTGGGGGGCATGGGCTGCAGCTCCTTTAGAGCTTTCCTCACGGTTTCCTCCTGAGGGTGTGGCCCTAGGCCCAGTGACGGGAACAGCTGCAGCTGGCAGATTGGAGAGGGAGAGTTTGCAGCTGTTGAAATACAATTGCTTAGAAGTCCCCCCCACACAGGGAAATGCACACAATCACACTTTTCAGACGGTCCTCCTTACCATGATCATCAACAGTGACTTCCTGAGTTTCCATCATGTCCTGGACATTCTGCTGGGTGCTTTGCTTGGAGAAACATGCTCAACCTTCATCTCTACTCCCAGACATAGCTGGGCCCTGGGAGGAGGCACTGGCAGCATCCACGGACCCGTCAGAAATGCAGAATCCCAGGCCCTGCTCCAAACCTACAGAGTGAGAATCTGCATTTTAATCCGGTGCTCATGGGATTCTTAGGCACAGCAGACTCCAGGATGCCCAGTTAAATGTGAACTCCAGATCAAAGATGAGAAACTTTTTAGTGTAAAAATGCACCAATATGGCCGGGCGCGGTGGCTCACGCCTGTAATCCCAGCACTTTGGGAGGCTGAGATGGGTGGATCACGAGGTCAAGAGATCGAGATCATCCTGGTCAACATGGTGAAACCCCAAATTGACTAAAAATACAAAAATTAGCTGGGCATGGTGGTGCACGCCTGTAGTCCCAGCTACTAGGGAGGCTGCAGCAGGAGAATTGCTTGAACCCAGGAGGCGGAGGTTGCGGTGAGCCGAGATCGCGCCATTGCACTCCAGCCTGGGTAACAAGAGCGAAACTCCGTCTCAAAAAAAAAAAAAAAAAAAAAAATGCACCAATACTGGCTGGGCACGGAGGCTCACACCTGTCATCCCAGCACTTTGGGAAGCTGAGGAGGGTGGATCGCCTGAGGTCAGGAGTTCGAGACCAGCCTGACCAACATGGCAAAACCCCATCTCTACTAAAAAATACAAAAATTAGCCAGGCATGATAGTGCATGCCTGTAATTCCAGCTACTCGGGAGCCTGAGGCAGGGGAATCACTTGAACCAGGAGGCGGGGGTTGCAGTGAGCTGAGATCGTGCCACTACACTACAGCCTGGGTGACAGAGCAAGACTCTGTCTCAAAAGAAAGAAAAGAAGAAAATACAGCGCATCACCCTCATTACTTGTGGATTCCGTATCTGTGAATCTGCAACTCACTGCCATTTATTCATAGCCTTGCGTTAACACTCACAGTGCTGCTGTGGTTTTTCTGGTCACTCACAGACATGCCTAGAGCAGCACACCAAAAACAAGGACAGCGGCTGAGATGGAACTGGGCAGCCCCTGCCTTCGCCCTTCAGCTCTCGTCCTGCAAACAAGCGTCCTTCTCAGCCCATTTAGTGCCATATTTAGGTTCCTGTCCGTAAGACTGTCATGTGCAGAACCTAAATGGGATTGGAGACTGTTCTTCTAAGTGAACTAACTCAGGAATGGAGAGCCAACATCGGATGTTCTCTCTCCTGAGTGGGAGCTAAACTATGAGGATGCAAAGGCGTAAGAATGACACAGTGGCCAGGTGCTGTGGTTCACACCTGTCATCCCAGCACTTTGGGAGGCCGAGGCAGGCGGATCACCTGAGGTCAAGAGTTCAAGACCAGCCTGGCCAACATGGTGAAAACCTGTCTCTACTAAAAATACAAATATTAGCCAGGTGTGGTGGTACGTGCCTGTAATCCCAGCTACTCGGGAGGGTGAGGCAGGAGAATTGCTTGAACCCAGGAGACTGAGGTGTAGTGAGCCGAGATCCTACCACTGAACTCCAGCCTAAGGGACAGAGAGGGGGACTGCATCTCAAAAAAAGAAAAGAAAAGGCCGGGTGCGGTGGCTCACGCCTGTAATCCCAGCACTTTGGGGGGCCAAGGTGGGTGGATCATGAGGTCAGGAGTTCGAGATCAGCCTGACCAACATGGTGAAATCCCGTCTCTACTAAAAATACAAAAAAGTAGCTGAGCATGGTGGCACAGGAGGCTGAGGCAGGAGAATCTCTTGAACCTGGGAGGCAGAGGTTGCAGTGAGCTGAGATTGCACAACTGCACTCCAGCCTGGGGGACAGAGCAAGACTCCGTCTCAAAAAAACCCCAAAAACCAGAAAAATAATATATTAAGAAAGGTGCGTTTATTTATTTATTTTAATTTAAGATGGGGTTTCACCATGATGTCCAGGCTGGTCTTGAACTCCTGACCTCAGGTGATCCACCCGCCTCAGCCTCCCAAAGTGCTAGAATTACAGGCGTGAGCCACCGCGCCCGGCCTAAAGTAATAATCTTAATCGGTGTAACTTTAAAACCGAAATGATTCCCCCGAAGAGAGCGCACCGTTCCTGGAAGTAGTGCGATACCAGGGCGATGCGTGGAGTGGACGGAGCACGCTCCCATTCCATCTCCTATTTCCAAAAATCCATTTAACAGACTGTCCTCGGATAGAGGACGTATCAGATATTAAAGTGATAGGAACAGATACGACACTTGATCTTAGCCAAAAGGCCGAGAAGCGATCGGACGGTGTGTTTAAATAAAGACATACATAAAATCAGGCTTGTGTTGATGAACACATGACTAGAGGCTCACGGGAACCTATCACTGTGTTCCCCCAGGAGCATGGGTATCAGCTGTTCATGGTGACTTTACAGAACTACCAGGGACACTAAGAATTGACTAAGTGTATCTTGTTCCATATTTAACAAAATGTAAGCAATAATTGCAAGGATGAATGTATGCCCCCGGTTCTCCGAAAAACTGAAACATGAATCAGGTGCGGATCCGTAGGATTCCCCACATGACTTCCGCAGCACAGTTATAAAGGGGGCGTTTGCGCTCTGTGGGTCTCACCAGTGGATGTTTTTACTGCTGTGGTAACTTCATCCCTTGCAGCAATCAGATGATGACTCTTTGTTTCAGGGTTGTTTTTTTTTTTTTTGAGACAGAGTCTCACTCTGTCACCCAGGCTGGAGTGCAGTGGTGTGATCTCGGCTCACTGCAACCTCCGCCTCCCCAATTCAAGCGATTCTCATGCCTAAGCCTCCTGAGTAGCTGCCATTACAGGTGTATGCCACCACGCCCCGCTAATTTTTGTATTTTTAGGATAGACGGGGTTTTGCCACATTGGCCAGGATGGTCTCAAACTCCTGACCTCAGGTGATCCTCCTGCCTCGGCCTCCCAAAGTGCTGGGATTGCAGGCATTAGCCACCGAGACTGGCCGGATGATAACTCTTTGGATAATGTGCCATACACTCTCTGACCCTGTTAGGGGAAAAACCTCACAGGTGGCCAGGTGCAGTGGCTCACGCCTGTAATCCCAGCACTTTGGGAGGCTGAGGCGAGCGAATCACAAGGCCAGGAGATTGAGACCATCCTGGCCAACATGGTGAAACCCCATCCATACTAAAACTATAAAAATTAGCCAGTTCTGTCGGTGTGCACCTGTAGTCCCAGCTACTTGTGAGGCTGAGGCAGGAGAATCGCTTGAACCCAGGAGGCTGAGGCTGCGGTGAGCTGAGATCGCATCACTGCACCCCAGGTCTCTATCTCAAAAACAAACAAACAAACAAACCTCACGTAGGAATCGCACATAACCAAGAGTCATTATGACCATCATGGCGATTGTCTAAGGGTGATGGAAAAGTGGCTCAGTCTGGTTCCAAGGGAGGAATCAGGCAAACAGACCCCACCTCAGGTATTTTATCTACCAAAGATCTGATACAGGAATGAAATGTTCCAGAATTGTTGAATGGGCTGCACCTCCTGAGATAACTCACAGAATCACATGGAACCATCCCAGCCAGGAGCCGCCGCCTTTGAAGACTGACCTGTAGCTCCGAGTTCCAGAACATACCCCCGAAGCTGTGATCCAGGGGCCAAAAGCGGCCACCCTCCAGAGCTGCAGCCTCTGCCTCCCAGGTTCAAGCAATGATCATGCCTCAGCCTCCCGAGTAGCTGGAATTATAGGTGCCAGCCACCATGTCCAGCTTAATTTTTGTGTGTTTAGTAGAGACGGGGGTTTGGCCGAGCTGGTCTCGAACTCCTGACCTTGTGATCCGCTCCCCTCGGCCTCCCAAACTGGTGGGATTACAGGCGTGAGCCACTGAGCCCTGCTGCCCTGCTTCTTAAGCCTTCCGTAGAACTGCTCCCCATGTCCCCCTACACCCAGTAGAGCCCTCATGCTCTGAAAGGCCTCTTCTGCCTCCTACAGTGATCCCCTGGACTGCACCAAGATAAATAAACCTCATGGACTGCCAGTGGCCCTTCAACAGCTTTCCGCATCTTTTTGTTTGTTTGTTTGTTTTGAGATGGAGTTTCGCTCTTGTTACCCAGGCTGGACTGCAATGGTGCGATCTCAGCTCACCACAACCTCCGCCTCCTGAGTTCAGGCAATTCTCCTGCCTCAGCCTCCCGAATAGCTGGGATTACAGGCACGCGCCACCATGCCCGGCTAATTTTGTATTTTTAGTAGAGACGGGGTTTCACCATGTTGACCAGGATGGTCTCGATCTCTTGACCTCGTGATCCACCCGCCTCGGCCTCCCAAAGCGCTGGGATTACAGGCGTGAGCTGCCACGTCCGGCCAGCTTTCCGCATCTTACTCGGGTGCACTTAATTAGCAAAGCCCAAATTCAGTCCAGAACTCTAGCTCTCAGGAGGTCTGGGAAACGCAGCTGCAATCTCCAGCCAGAGAGATTTCTCCCCAGAGAGTAAAAGGGGTGGAAGTGGGGGCGGGACAGAAGCCCGCAGTATCAACCGCTGAGAAGCCGCTTTCACTCTGGCCAGATGCTGCGAGATACGGTTGGGAAGAATTTCCAAGGAATTCTCTGCTTTGGCAGTGAGGGTAAAGTCTGCCTGACTCCCTCCTCCTGTAAGCATTGCTCACTCTCTGAGCTTCTAAGGAAGAGGATATATCTGGCTGGTGGAAAACCTGCTGCCACAGCTGGGCAGGGACTTCAGAATACCCTTCTTCCCCGCCCCGCCTTGAGACAGAGTCTCGCTCTGTCACTCAGGCTGGAGTGCAGTGGTGCCATCTCAGCTCTTGTTTCTTCCGCCTCTGCAACCTCTGCCTCCTCGGTTCAAGTGATTCTCCTGCCTCAGCCTCCGGACTAGCTGGGATTACAGGTGTCTGCCACCATGCCTCGCTAATTTTTGTATTTTTATTAGAGGCAGGGTTTCACCATGTTGGCCAGGCTGGTCTCGAACTCCCGACCTCAGGTGATCCACCCACTTCTGCCTCCCAAAGTTCTGGGATTACAGATGTGAGCCACCACATCCAGCCAGAATGCCTCTCCTGAGCTTCAGTTTCCTCCTCTGTGAGAGAGGCTCAGGCCTTAAAAACCGCTCTTGGCCTTAAAACCCAGGTCTCTTGCTGTGTCACCTGGCAAAGTACACTTGCCCCTCTGAGCCTTGATTATCCCAGCCGTTAAATGGGGTGATTCTCTGATCACGGGGTGAGCATGGGGGGAAATCAGATAATGGGCGGTGTGACCCATCATTAAGCACGAATTGCTTCATTAATTTCGTTAATTGCATTATTCTTTTTCAAACATTTCCTGGGGCCTTGGGGAGCCAAAGATGACTCAGGTTGAGATCCAGCCCACTGGGAGCCTGCGGTGCAAGACCACAGACTGACATCCGTACACATGTAGGCCATCCCCACTTCTGCTGGCTCTTCCCCTCACAGGCTCACTCACTAGTCCATCAACCACTCACCGGTAAACACAACCTGGGCCTCCAGATTCTAACCAAGCCCCATCCCTGCCCCGGGGGATCGTACTGCTTCAAAGCACCATACAGAGAGAAAAACCTTAATTATTATTTAGGGCAATAATTATAGCAGAGCTACAAAGGAGCCGAGAAGCAGGAAGGTAGGAGCTAAATTTGCTGCCAAAGGAATTCTCGCCCTCAGGCCTGGGAAGTAGGGTAAGAACCACTTTCCTTCAGTCTTCTTTTTTTTTTTTGAGACGGAGTTTCGCTCTTGTTACCCAGACTGGAGTGCAATGGCGCGATCTCGGCTCACCGCAACCTCTGCCTCTCGGGTTCAGGCAATTCTCCTGCCTCAGCCTCCTGAGTAGCTGGGATTACAGGCGCGTGCCACCATGCCCAGCTAATTTTTGGATTTTTAGTAGAGACGAGGTTTCACCATGTTGACCAGGATGTTCTCGATCTCTTGACCTCGTGATCCACCCGCCTTGGCCTCCCAAAGTGCTGGGATTACAAGCATGAGCCACCGTGCCCGGCCCTACTTCACTCTTATTGACTCATTCCTGGGCAGGCCCCAAGCCAGGAGCTGGGTATAACAGGCAAGAAGGGTTGGTCTCTATTGCTGACTTGCTCAGCATGAGGTGGGCAGCAGTCACCCAAAAATTGTTGTTTTGTTTTGAGACAAAGTCTCACATTGTTGCCTGGGCGGGAGTGCAGCGACTCCATCTCAACTCACTGCAACTCTGCCTTCCGGGTTTAAGGGACTCTCCTGCCTCAGCCTCCTGAGTAGCTGGGATTACAGGCACCTGCCACCATGCCCGGCTAATTTTTTATATTTTAGTAGACAGGGTTTCACCATGTTGGCCACACTGGTCTCAAACTCCTGGCCTCGTGATGGGCCCGCCTCAGCCTCCCAAAGTGCTGGGATTACAGGCATGAGCCACCATACCCAGCCTGCACTGGAGGGTTTGAAGCAAAAGTTACATGACCCTATTGAAGTTTCAACTGGATCCCGCTGGGGCTGAGAGAGGTGGGTCATGCCTCTCATCCCAGCACTTCAGGAGGCCAAGGCGGGTGGATCACCTGAGGTCAGGAGTTCGAGATCAGCCTGGCCAACATGGTGAAACCCCATCTCTACTAAAAATACAAAAAAAAATTAGCTGGGCATGGTGGTGCACACCTGTAATCGCAGCACTTTCGGAGGCCACGGCGGGTGGATCACGAGGTCAAGAGATCGAGACCATCCTGGTCAACATGGTGAAACCCCGTCTCTACTAAAAATACAAAAATTAGCTGGGCGTGGTGGCGCGTGCCTGTAATCCCAGCTACTCGGGAGGCTGAGGCAGGAGAATTGTTTGAACCCAGGAGGTGGAGGTTGCAGTGAGCCGAGGTCGTGCCATTGCACTCCAGCCTGGGTAACAAGAGTGAAACTCCATCTCAAAAAAAAAAAAAAAAAAGAGAGGCCTATTAGGAAATCCAAGTGGACACGTCAAGTAGGCCATCAGAGATAAATGGGAAGATGAGTGTGTTTTAGGCGCAGAAAGGAGACATGACTGGAACTCAGTAAACAAGAGGAGAAGACAGGGGCAGATAGATGGGCCAGGGTAGGTTAGGCCGCCGTGGGCCAACTGGCCACAAAGTTCTGGGTCAGCCACTCATCGCTTGTGAATCCTGGGGACAGTTGTTCATTTATGAATATGGTAAGAGGAACAACTTCCACTGTCTTCCTTTTGATGGCGAGGAGTCTTCAGAGCAGCGAGAGAAGTAGAGGAGGGGAGGGGGATTCTCTTATCTGTATCGTACAGACGAGGAAATACACCGCTGGCTGGGGTGGGGCTAACCCGGGCCCACTAGGCTTGCATGAGCCATAATCAGTCCTGGAACTATCTAGATAAAGAGCGTCAGCTGATCTCTTAAGATGTCTTTCTGCTCTAAAATGCAAATACGCTTCTTCAGTTCTGAGATGGAGAAGAGAAACTGAGGCCTCGGGACGGGGCGGCAGTCTGTCCAACAGGGGCACGTCGAGCACGCGTCGCAGGTAGCGCTCTCCCCCAATTCACACCAGGGAAAACGGGGGCCAAAGACAGGGCGGTGTCCGGTCCAGGTTCGCACAGGAAGAGCCAAACCGAGGCCCCCGCGCTGGCCCCCTCCTGAGCCACCGCCCACCCCGGAACAGGAGGGCAGCCCGCTTACGTCCTGATTCCTGGAACCGACATCGATCCTTAAGTTCTGCCCGGGTGGAGAGGGAGGACAAGAAAAAAAATTGCAATCCGTAATCAAGGAGGGAAACGTAGCCTGCACTCCTGATTGGCGCAGAACTGTAGCCTGGTCTCCTCCTCCCCCTCTTCGCTTGCCAGCTTCTAGAGCTCCAGAGGCCCCACCTACCAAATGCCCAGCCGATACCCGGCCTCCCTCGGTCTCCACCGCAACGCCGCCATGGCACCTCCTCCTCCTCTTTCCCGGCACGTCTGCGCATGCCCAGGGTCCGCGCGGAGACCACTGGGAAGCCGCTTCGTGCATTCCGGGAAATGTAGTCCAAAGCCTGATGCGCTCAGCGAACCCGCGACAGTAGCGCCATCAAGGCCCAGTAGGCCGCAGACGACGCTTTTGTGCATCTTGGGAAATGCAGTTCCAGCGTTGGCGAAGACGCCACGCGGTGACAAACCGGGGTGCGCCCACGGCGAGGGCCAATGGGCAGCCGCCTTTGCCGCGGTGCTTCCTGGGAGGTGTAGTTCGGGGCGAGGCCGGGACTGCAGGAAGCGGGTTGTGGGGCTGAACGATCGACTCGGGAGTCTGGGGTGGCGGGAGGGGGACGGGTGAGTTTGGCGCAAAGCCTGCCGGGGCATGGAGTCCCGATGAGCTTCGTGCGCATGTGCGGGGAGGTGAGGGGGCTTGGGGGGCCTCGCCTGAAAGAGTGAGGTGAGCGAGGAGGGAGGGATTGGTGGGGGGCGGTTGGAAGAGGGCGGGATCAGCGGTACGACGGGAAGAGGGGCGCCGGGGGCCTCTGGCGGGAGAGATGGAAGACTAGGGGGTAGGGGAGGAGAAGGGGGCTGAGTGATGGGGGAGGGGCTTGGAGAGGGACGGGTGGGTAGTGGGAGGGGGTCGTGGATCCTGAGGTCCTGGACGCGGGAGAGAGAAGCTGATGGAGGGGATGGGGGAGGGACGGCTGGGGAGGGGGGAGGGGCAGGGCGGAGGGGAGGAAAGGGGGAGGGACGGGTGGGGGAGGGGACGGGTGGGGGAGGGGACGCAAGCAGGGGGTGGGCTGTGAGATGAAAGCTGAGTGGGAAGCTGGACCCTACAAGGAAGTGCGGGGCCGCCGGGACCGGACCCCTTCGGAAAGGTTTGCGGGAAGGGGCTTCCGGGGACGCGGTGGTTGTAACGTAGGTGCGGTGCAGGCGGCTCATTCTGTGCACTGCTTTGACAAGTGCAACTTTTACCGAGTTGTGGGCTTCCCGGAGATGAGAATCAGTGCCCTGTTTTGCTGCTTCCTCCATGAAGAGCACCTGCCTTTTTAGCTGGTTGCAAGGCATGAGGTTGGGTAACGTGTCAAGTGCTTAGAAGCTGTGTTTATCATCATCGGAAGTTGACCCCTGCCACCTCTACCCCAGTCCAGGATGAAGTCACCCCCCTTTAATCCGACTTGATCGCCTGTTCCGATTTACACGTAGTGTTTTCAGTCTGTGTGCGTGTTCACAGCAGTGTCCCCCGGCACCTGGCTGGCGGTTCTCAGCATTTTCGGTTTCCTTCTGTCACTCTACAGCCAAGGAAATGGAGATACCGTGGACTACAAAAGGTGCCTTGTACCTTGTCCAAGGACACAGAGCTGGTAGGAGGCAGAGCTGGAATTTGCTCCAGGGCCTTTGTGCTGTGGGTAAATATTTGTCCAGTGGGCTAGTGGCTCTCAACCAGGAGTGGTTTTGTCCCCCAGGGGACATGTGGCAATGTCTGGAGACTTTTTTTTTTGGTTGTCCCGAGTGGGGAAGTGCTCCTGGCATCTCCTGGAAAGTGGCAGAGATGCTGGTAGGCGTTGTATGTGGCACAGGATGGCCCCACCACCACCACCACCACCACTCAGAGTCATCCAGGCTCAAGTGCCATTCATGTGGAGGTTGGGAAACTCCAGTAGACAAACGGGTCTTCGTGGTGAACTGACTCTTTGGAGGGCCGCTTCTGACTTAGGCTCCCAGCAGCCTCTTGAGGGGAAGGAGCTGTTGTTAGTCCTGTGTCACAGGTGGGGAAAGGAAGCACAGAGAGGGCAGGTCACACATCCACAGACTCTTAGCCACGATTTGACATTTTTTTTTTTTTTTTTTGAGACGGAGTTTCGCTCTTGTTACCCAGGCTGGAGTGCAATGGCGCGATCTCGGCTCACCGCAACCTCCGCCTCCTGGGTTCAGGCAATTCTCCTGCCTCAGCCTCCCGAGTAGCTGGGATTACAGGCATGCGCCACCATGCCCGGCTAATTTTTTGTATTTTTAGTAGAGACGGGGTTTCGCCATGTTGACCAGGATGGTCTCGATCTCTTGACCTCATGATCCACCCGCCTCAGCCTCCCAAAGTGCTGGGATTACAGGCTTGAGCCACCGCGCCCGGCCCATGATTTGCCATATTAACCCAGGATGCGTGGGTGCTGGTGCCATGGTACTAGGTGGAACTGGTGTGGACTCTGGAATCACATCTGGGTCCCATTTGTGGCTCCTTCACTCTGTGAGCATCTCCCCGTGGCATAAAGGGACCCATCTCCCCAGAGCTCACAGGTCCGTTGGGAACCCATCTTCCCAGCTCACAGGTCTGTCTGCAAGACATCCAAGGTGCCTGGCTCTAGGCTGACTGTGCTTTGCAGACACAGACAGCTAGACGGCAGGCTGACAGCTGTTGGATGCGTGTAGCACAGGACGCTCATTGGATGCCAGGGTGGACTTACATGCTGGAATGCCCTTACTTTTCAGCATGTGCTCTAGGGGGCAGGCCCTGTGCTGGGTGGCCCCAGGGACGACTTGGACCTGGTCACTGCCCCAAAGAGCTTACTTTCTGGACAGCCCAGGGCGTAGTGTGACCTGTGATCACCTCTGAGATTGCAGACAGAGTCAGCCTGACGCCTATGGCCTTGCTCTCTGGCGGAAATTCCTCCCTAGCGCCAGAGGGATCTTTTTTTATAACGGAGCAGGCGTCTGTGTGGCTTTTGAGACTTGGATCTGGCCCGGTGTTCTGATAAGCCTTGCTGCCTGCTCCCAGGTTAATCAGTCCTTTAACTGATGGGTGGGCGGGGTGGGAGGTGATGCTGCGGCCTGGCTCCGGAGCCAGGCAGACACGGATGTGTGAGTCCAGGCTCTTCCACATGTGAGCCGAGTGGCTTTGGGCAAGACGTCTCCACTTTCTCCATCTGCAACTCGGGGGTAATAACGCCAGCCTCCTGGGATTGATCAGCCTGTAAAGTTTGAGTGCTAGCCAGAATGCTGGGGTTGGAATTTGTAGTCTCTTGCGGGAGTGGAGCTTAAATTGTAGTGAAGAAAGCACACAGATATCGTGACACTAGATCTTGTTAAATGCTCAAAGAAATCCAATAAGGGTGCTGTTAGCCGCCGGGGGAAGGCACGCGGGTGCAGCACTGCGGGGGTGATCGGGGAAGCCCTGCAAGAGAGGAGTGATTGATTGCACTGAGGCCTCAGTTATGAGGAGTCAGTAAGCAAAGATCCTGGGGGGAGGCAGCCTTCAGTCTGGGAAGACGGAGAGCGAGCCAGACCCAGTGTGGGGGCTCACGCCCGTAATCCCCACACTTTGAGAGACCAAGATGGGAGGATTACTTGAGTCCCGGAGTTTGAGACCAGCCTGGGCAATATAGTGAGACCCCGTCTCTACAAAAAAATATAAAAATCAGCTGGGTGTGGTGGTGTGCGCCTGCGGTCCCAGCTACTCAGGAGGCTGAGCCGGGAGGACGGCTTGAGCCCAGGAGGTCGGGGCTGCAATGAGCTGAAAGGTCACACTGCTGCACTCCAGCTGGGGTGACGAGAGACAGCCAAGGGAGCCACTGCGGCTGGAGTATAGAGAGCCAGGGACCGAGGAAGAGACGAGAGAGCAGGACCAGGCTGCAGGGCCTCATGGCCGCAGGAAGGAATTTGCGTTGTGAGCGTCACAGGAAGCAGCTGGAGGGTGTGGAGCAGGGACGTGACTGGGATTTAGGGTGAAAAAGTTTCCCCTTGAGGGGCGAGAGCAGGCAGACACAGGGGGCCTTGAGGCAGCCGCCCCAGCAGCGAGCTGATGTCTGTGGTCGGCGACATGGCGGTCAGGAGCCCAGGCGGAAGATCGTCTGAACGCACGCTTCCTCCCAGACCTCGCCGGCTAGAAGCACATTACGTGGCCACCCGCTGCCTTGTGGTCGAGGGGACTCCGCTGTGGTTCCTTATGACACAGGCCAGGCTGCTGTAATAAAGAGACCCCAAATACAGTGCCCCAGAGAAGACAGCGCCGATTCTTTTCTCCCATGCTAGTCCATAGGCGTTCTGGGACGGCCGGTGCCTGAGCCCCGTGGGGCCATCAGGGCCCCTTTTATCCTGATCTTCCGGTGTCCTTGAGGTCAGGGGTCGGCAGTCTTTCTGTCAAGAGTCAGTGAGTAACTGTCTCCGGCTCTGTGGGCAGCCTTGCCGGCTGTCCAGACCCTCACAGCCACTCAGTAGGTCCAAGGCAGCCGTGGACAGTGTGTGACATCTGCTAATCCCAAACGTGACTGGGGCCGCAGTGTGCTGGGCCGGGCTACGGACTCACTGTCGGCATCCATTCAAATTCATATGCTGGCACCCTGGTCCCCCGTGTGATGGCACTGGGAGGTGGGGCCCTCTGGCATGGGATTAGTGCCCTTCTAAGAAGAGACGGAAGAGCTCGCTGCCCACCTCTCTCGCTGTCCTGTGAGGACACAGGAGGAGGCCGTCCGCACCCCGCAGGAGGCGCTCCCCCAAACCCAACAGTGCTGGCCCCCAGACCACAGACTCCCCGAGAAGGGACTGAGACAGGCTGAGTTGCTTAAATAACATGAGTTGATTTCTCAGTTCTGCGGGCTGAAGGGCAGAATTCCAGCACCGCTGGTTACCGGGGAGGGCCTCTGCCAGGCTCCGGGAGGCCTCCTTGCTGTGTGCTCCTGTTAGCAGAGACGGACAGATTCCTGGTGTCCCTTCCTCTTGTAGGGTCACAGTCCTATTAGGCCCAGCTTTTGTGACCTCCGTTAACCTCCATTACCAGCTAAAAGCTCCATCTCCAAATACGGTCACACAGGGTGAGAGCTTCCACACGTGAATTCTGGGGGACAGATTCAGGCCACAGCAGTTAGTTGGGGTGGCTTCTGAGCAGGCTGTAAAGTGTCTGCTGCCAGGCTGTGGGGTGCTCTGCCCCACCAGTCCAGCGAGGGTGGTGCTGAGGGTGCCCCGCTGCTGCCAGGCCTGCTGCAAGCTCTTCTCGTGTTTTCTGGTTGAATCCTCTGGACAGGCTGTGAGAGGAGCCGCAGGACTGCAGTACAGAGGCTCGGAGCCCAGTGAGGGGCCAAGCTGGGACTTGACCCCGGGGGATTCTAGGAAGCGGACACCGTTTCCTCACCACCCGAGTGCGTGCCACCCCTCACGCAGACGTCTTTGCCCCCTGGGACACGCAGGGCAGGTGAGTGCTTTATCTTACAGGGGAAACCAAGGCACACAGGCCTGGCCTATCCTGGACACGTGGGCGGCTCAGAAGCGAGGGTTTCATGCCCCACACGGTGGCTCACGCCTGTAATCCCAGCACTTCGGAAGGCTGAGGCTGGTGGATTGCTCGAAGTCAGGAGTTTGAGACCAGCCTGGCTAATGTGAAACCCCGTCTCTACTAAAAATACAAAAATTAGCTGGGCATGGTGGCACGTGCCTGTAATCCCAGCTACTCGGGAGGCTGAGGCAGGAGAATTGCCTGAACCCAGGAGGCGGAGGTTGCAGTGAGCCGAGATCGCGCCATTGCACTCCAGCCTGGGTAACAAGAGCGAAACTCCGTCTCAAAAAAAAAAAAAAAAAAAAAAATCAGCCAGGCGTGGTGGCGCGTGCCTGTAATCCCAGCTACTCAGGAGGCTGAGGCAGGCGGATCGCCTGAACCCGGGAGCTGAGATTGCGTCACTGCACTCCAGCCTGGGCAACAGAGCGAGACTCTGGTTAAAAACAGGAGTGTGGGTCCTGGTGTGAGTCTGAGCACCGCAGGCAGGGGTCTCAACGGGTGGGGATCTCGGTGGGTTGGGGGATCTCAGTGGGAGGGCGGGGTGGGGGAGGCTTGGTGGACTGGGGTCTTGGCTCTAGGGGCAGGGTTCTAACCTGTTTGTCCCCCTGCAGGTGCTGCCGTCCAGAGGCCCCATGGAGGTGGCGGTGCCTGTGAAGCAGGAGGCTGAGGGCCTGGCGCTGGACTCCCCGTGGCACCGCTTCCGCCGCTTCCACCTGGGTGATGCGCCGGGCCCTAGAGAGGCTCTGGGGCTGCTCCGCGCCCTGTGCCGGGACTGGCTGCGGCCCGAGGTGCACACCAAGGAGCAGATGCTGGAGCTGCTGGTGCTGGAACAGTTCCTGAGCGCGCTGCCTGCCGACACGCAGGCCTGGGTGTGCAGCCGCCAGCCGCAGAGCGGGGAGGAGGCCGTGGCCCTGCTGGAGGAGCTCTGGGTGAGCCTGGTGGGGCTGGGATGGGGTGGTGGGGGTGGGGGGAGGGAAGGGTGTCGGGGAAGCCACCAGGAGGCTGAGGGAGGAACACCGCTTAACCCCGAAAACCAGCGAGATGCACGGTGGGGAGGCCGAGGGACAGTGCGGAGGGACAGTCCCCGTGGGGCACCCTCCATCCCACACCAGCTGCAGTCAGGAGGCCCTACGACCCGGGCATACTCGCGAGTTCTCTCAAAGGACACATGGCCACGTTCACGGTCAGGAGGACGCGCTGGAAGCAGCTGGGAAGAGGGCCAGGAAGACGCCACCGAGAACAGCTACCAGCTGTCCTCTCCCCTCCCTCCTCCCGAACCAGCAGGGATGTCCCTCAGACCTGGGTGTTCTGGGTTCTTACTGGGGACTCCTCCCGGCTCTGTGAGTCTGACCTCAGCCTCCAGCCCCTCGAAGGCCAGGGATGTCCCCGGCCCAAACTCCACACCAAATCCATGTTGCTGTGGGCTGGCCTGAGGTCCCCCAGGCAGGCAGACCCTCCTCACACCTGAGGCTCCAGGGGCCGAGAGGTGACTTCCCAGGGGCGGAGGGTAAAAGCCAGGCCTCTCGCCGGGCAGGTTTGGATTCTTGACCACACAGCAGGCCTGTGCCAAGTCACTGTCTGGGTGAAGTCAGGGTGCACAGCCACACCCATTCGCTTACGTCACCCGTGGCTGACTCTTGCCACCTCGACGACAGCAGACGGCCCGGGAAGCTGGAGGCGTTGACCGCCTGGCCCCGTAGGGGAAGCCCCGTAAGGGAGGCTGGCAGTCTGGCCTAGAGTGCCCTGTCCAGGGCAATGTGCAGTGTGAGCTGCAGATGCCATCGGAAGGGCTCTAGTCGCCACGTTAAAAAGGTGAAAAAAGGCCGGGCGCGGTGGCTCAAGCCTGTAATCCCAGCACTGGGAGGCCGAGGCGGGTGGATCATGAGGTCAAGAGATCGAGACCATCCTGGTCAACCTGGTGAAACCTCGTCTCTACTAAAAATACAAAAATTAGCTGGGCACGGTGGCGCGTGCCTGTAATCCCAGCTACTCGGGAGGCTGAGGTAGGAGAATTGCCTGAACCCAGGAGGCGGAGGTTGCGGTGAGCCGAGATCGCGCCATTGCACTCCAGCCTGGGTAACGAGAGCGAAACTCCGTCTCAAAAAAAAAAAAAAAAAGTGAAAAGAAACTGGTGAATGTAGTTTTAATAACCTACGTTACTGACCCCAGTGTATTCAAAATACTGTCCTTCCATTACATGGCACTCACGCGGCCGGCAGCTGCCGTGTGGAGCATGGGTGATGAGCAGCGGGCAGCCACACAGAGACGTCCGAGAAGAGTGGGTCCAGGCCACGGGAACAGCCAGTGCAAAGGCCCTGAGGCACCTCGAGCAGCAGAGGGGTCCGGGTGTGAGGGCTGTTCACAGCGAGGCTAGAGTCCCCAGTGGCAGGAGGGTGAAGCGGCAGAGCAGCCAGGTGTTCCTTCTAAGTGCGTACTGAGTGCCTGGTGGGTGCTGAGGTGGAGCAGCAGAAAGGTGGCATCTCGGTGAGGCAAAGTGAGCAGAGCCTTCAGTCCACGGCAGCCAGGCGTCCTTTCTTCCAGAGGAGCAGCTCCTGTGCAGGCTGCCAGCAGCCTCTGCGCCACCCAACCAGTGGCCTCGTCTGTCTCCCTTCTCATGCAGCCTGACCAGCCCCCAAACGCTCCCTGCCTTCTGTCTGGGCTACAGCGTGCCCCTCCTCTGTTCCCACCTCCCAGCACTGCTGTGCTGGCTCTGGCTTCTCTATCCTCGCCCTCCTTCCAGGTCATTGTTCCCCGAAGTGGGTTGTAACAAATCAGCACAAAGCCAGCGGCTTACAGATCACACAAGTCTGTAATTGTAGTGGAGGTCAGAAGTCCCAAGTGGGTCTCATGGCCCAAAATCCAGCTGTCTGCAGAGCCACGGCCCTTCTCCAAGCCCTGGGAGAGCATCCGTCGTGCCTTTTCCAGCTTCCGGAGGCTCCTGGCCCCTCCTCCATCCTCAGAGCGCTGCCCTCCGACTTCTGCTTCCATTCCCATCGCTTCTCTGACCTTGACGCTATTAGGTCCTGCGGTCATCTCTTTTAAATTTACTAAGTTCTGGGGTACGTGTGCGGGACGTGCAGGTTTGTTACATAGGTACACATGTGCCACGGTGGTCTGCTGCACCCATCCACCCGTCATCTGGGTTTTAAGCCCCGCAGGCATCAGGCGTCTGTCCTGATGCTCTCCCTCCCCTAATCCCCTATACCCCAACAGGCCCTGGTGTGTGATGTTCCCCTCCCTGTGTCCATGTGTTCTCACTGTTCTCATTATTCAGCTTCCACTTATGAGAACACGCAGTGTCTGGTTTTCTGTTCCTGTGTTAGTGTGCTGAGGATGATGGTTTCCAGCTTCATCCATGTCCCTGCAAAGGACGTGAACTCATCCTTTTTAATGGCTGCATAGTATTCCATGGTATATATACTGTGGCCACTTCTTAGGATGGCTGTGATAACATTGGGCCGTTAGGAGAATTCAGGGTAATTCCCTCCTGTCCACAGAGTCCTTGCTGCCCTGAGACAGAATGTGACGGGTTCTGAGGATCGGGATGTGTGTGTCATGGGGCAAGGTGAACGTGAGGTGAACTGGGGGTGGAATAGAACTCACGTGGAATCGGTCAGCGTGGGTTACGCCCTTTCCAGTTTTCATGAATCTCAGAACAGGACCTGGCACACAGGTGCTATACAGGTAGATTTCAGCCACTGTTATTACTCTGACCTCATGCCATCTGTTTCTTTGGCATTAAAGTGTTCTTTTAGGAAAAGATGGTTAAAGTAGGTGGAGGTTGTTGTTGCTTTTAATGTATATATCTTGCAAAATAAATCCCTTCCATCTGGGGATGCAGTGGAGTTCTACTGGTTAGTGAATCTAAAAGTTCAGGAATCAGCTGGGCGAAGTGGCTCACGCCTGTAATCCCAGCACTCTGGGAGGCTGAGGCAGGTGGATCACAAGGTCAGGAGTTCGAGACCAGCCTGGCCAAGATGGTGAAACCCCATCTCTACTAGAAATACCCCAAAACCTAAAATGCAATAAAATAAAAAAATTAAAAAAAATAAAAAATACAAAAACTAGGTGGGCGTGGTGGCGGGCATCTGTAATCCCAGCTACTCGGGAGGCTGAGGCAAGAGAATCGCTTGAACCGGGGAATTGGATGTTGCAGTGATCCGAGATTGTGCCACTGCACTCCAGCCTGCGTGACAGAGCAAGACTCTGTCTCAAAAAAATAAATAAATAAAAAGGTGGGGAATCACTGGGCTCCTGGGCCGGCAGGACTCCTGTGTGCTGCTCTCTGCTTGCTCCGGGGCGAACCCCTCACTGTCTCTAACATCTCTCCTGTGTCTGTTCTTCTCTTTCTTTAATGAGAGCAGGTCTCAGGCTCACAGCCTTCTCTTACCAGTGGCCACGTGGGCTGGAATAACACTGCTGTGAGTGGCTGAGTCTCCCGTGACCTCTCTCTCCGTCACATGATACTGGCCTTAAGTCAGTGTTGTTTAGTTTTAGGTAAAAGTCAAGAAGAGTAGTAACAGCCTGGGTGGTCACCACTGCAGCTGGCATCTACGGGCGTGGCTGTGGATTGGGGTTTCTTGGCATCTGGTCTGTGGGTCCTTGCCTACCTCAGAGTTTTCACCGAGGCACTGCAGGATGAAAGACGAGGACAGCCGAGGAGAGGCTCATGTGCCATTAGAACACAGCGAAGATCGCCTGGAAACCTCCTCTTGTCCTGCAGTGGAGGGAATGGCTGATCCTCCCAGCGTCCTCTTGTCCTGCTTTGAAACACAGGGTTTGACAGGAAGACAGGGCACAGTTGGCTTCCTCACTTCTGTGGAGACAGAATCTGATCTGCCCAGAGAGATCCAATAGCCTGGCTATAGTCACTCAGCATCTAGCCTCGGGCACACAATAGTCAAAGGGGACAGTTTGAGACCGGGGGGCAGGGTGTCCACCAGCAGGGGAAATGAGAAGAGAAGGGCTGGTGGGTCGGGCCTGGAGGCCGGGAGAGGCAGGTCAAACCTGTACCTGGTTAGCGTGACACAAAGTGCCCCTGGGGCTCCAGAGGCAGCCGGGAGCACAGGAAAAGAGGCAGGTTAGCTGTTCAATGCAAAAGCAAAACCTAGCGGGAAAGCCGAGGACAGGCTGATGATGGAGCCCCAAACTCAGCATTTGAAAAGAATGCTAGAACAGCACAAACCTTCCGCAGATAGACCAGGAGGAAAACAGGACGTGGTGGGAGCAGGCACAGCTGGGCGACGGAGTAGGTTTGAGAGCTGCTGAGGACACCACGTTCCACACATGCGATGCATTCGGAGTCCTGCATGAAACGGACAGTTTCTAGGAAAATAGAAATCACCAACACATGCTCATGACGAGGTGGCAGGCGCAAGAGTCTGGAAACCAGACGGGGGAGAAATAATCAAGATGATTAAAGACCTTCCCTGATAGACGGCACTAGGTTCTGGCAGTTTCCATTGTAAGTTCTGCCAGACCTCCAAGGAACTGACTATTCTTTTTTTTTTTTTTTTTTTTTTGAGGTGGAGTCTTGCTCTATTGCCCAGGCTGGAGTGTAGTGGCGTGGTCTCAGCTCACTGCAGTCTCTACCTCCCAGGCTCAAGCATTTCTCCTGTCCCAGCCTCCTGAGTAGCTGGGATTACAGGCGCTTGCCAACATGCCTGCCTAATTTTTTTGTATTTTTAGTAGAGATGGGGTTTCATCATGTTGGCCAGGCTGGTCTCGAACTCGTGGCCTCAAGTGAGGCTGGAAAGGGTTACCCGTTCCCTCCACAGCAGAAGAGGAGGAAGCCTCCTGGAGTGCAGTGGAACAATCTCAGCTCACTGCAATCTGCCTACGGTTTCAAGCGATTCTCCTGCCTCAGCCTCCCCATTATCTGGGATTAAAGGTGCCCACCACCGCACCCGGCTAATTTTATGTATTTTTAAGAGAGAGTGGGTTTCACCATCTTGGCCAGGCTGGTCTTGAACTCCTAACCTCAGGTGATCTCCTTGCCTTGGCCTCCCAAAGTGCTGGGATTACAGGCGTGAGCCACCCCCACCCAGCCCAAACAATGTGCTTTTAAAGAAGCCTGGGAATGCTTCCTGCTGAATCTCATCACCAGCCAATCAAATTTTAGGTATTGCTAATTTTCTTTCTTTTTTTTTTTTTTTTGAAGACAGAGTCTCACCTTGTGGCCCAGGCAGTAGTGCAGTGATGAGATCTCAGCTCACTCCAATCTCCACCTCCCGGGTTTCAAGTGATTCTCCTGCCTCAGCCTCCTGAGTAGCTGGGATTACAGGCACTCACCACCACGTCCAGCTAATTTTGTTATCTTTAGTAGAGACGGGGTTTCACCATGTTGGCCAAGCTGGTCTCAAACTCCTGACCTCATGATCCACCTGCCCCAGCCTCCCGAAGTGCTGGGATCGCAGGCGTGAGTCACCACAGATGGCCTAGGCATTGCTAATTTTCACACCCACCATTGTTTTATGATCCAGGTACTCCTCTGGCCAAAAAGTTTTGAGATGGAAAATGTGTGTGACACGTGGGCCAGCTGTCATCGGCAGCAGCAGAATTCTGATCCTCTTCCCTTGGGGGCATGGTTTTAAATGAATGATGCAGCAGTGCAGAGAAACCACAGCCAGAGTTGGACTGAAACTTTTTCAACTTGGTCTTCTTGGCTGGTGCCATCCCGCTTGGCAGCTGTTCCGCCGTCTTACACCAAGAAAAGTTGTGTCTGAACCTCGTTGACTTTCTCCCAAGTTGAAAGTAGTTCCTGTATTCTGCATTTTGTTAAGGAGTTGGCACTTTATCCGAAGGGCAGGAACAAGCTGAAGACAGACCTGAGGCAGGTGTATTAGTTATCTCTTGCTGCCTGACAGATCACCCCAAACTCAGGGGTGTAAAACAGCAAACCGCTGTGAGCTCAGAAAGCCCCTGTGGGCCAGGAGTTCGGAGCCAGCTCCAGGGTCTCCGGTGGGCTCACAGTGGCAGTGTGGGCCGGGCTGTCACTTGAAGACTGGTGGTTTCCAGGCGGCTCCCCAGCAAGGGCTTGGCAGGAGGCCTTGGTTCCTCGCCAGTGGGCCTCTCTGTGGGTGGCCTCTGTCCTCCAGCATGACTGCGGCCTGCCTGCAGCAGAGATGGGATTCCACAGCTGGTCGACCGTGTCGGGAGCAGGAGAAATAGAGGCCCTCACTCAGGTTTCTGAGTTCCAAATATGCGCTCTCATTTCAGGGGCCAGCAACATCCCCCGATGGGTCGTCAGCGACGAGGGTGCCTCAGGACGTGACGCAGGGCCCCAGGGCAGCAGGTGGAAAGGAGGACAATGGGATGATTCCCTTAGGTGAGTCAATGGCCTCCCTTTCTCCCTGCCAGCCCCCAGCACTGAGGCATTGTTCAGTGAACAATCCTGGCACCAGGACAAGGGCAGACTTGGACCTCTACCCTTGAGGAACCTCAGGGTCGGAGATCCACCCATCCATCCATATATCATGCATCTATCTATCCATCATCCACCTTCCATCTATCCATTCCTGTCATACAGCTACCCATTCACCCATCCATCCAGCCATCATTCACCTATCCTCCCTCACACCAATCCTACCCTCCCTCTGTCATCCATTTATCATCACCCATCTCTACATCACCCACCCATTCATCCATCTACTTATCTACCCATGCACCCACCTATTCATCATCTGTCCATCCACCCATCATCCATCCACCATCTATCCATCATCCATCATCCATCCATCCATCATTCATCCATCCATCCACCCTCACATTCATCATCTACTCATCCATCAATCTATCCATCATCCATCCATCCATCCATCATCCATCCATCAACCAATCCATCCGTCATCCTTACATCATCCATTATCCATCTACCTATCCATCATTCATCCATCCATCATCCACCCTCACATTCATCATCTACTCATCCATCAATCCACCCATCATCCATCCACCATCCAGCCATCATCCATCCTCACATTCATCTACTCATCCATCAATCATCCATCCATCATCCATTCATCCATATCTATCCATCAACCAATCCATCCATCCATCATCCATCCATCATCCACCCTCACATTCATCATCCACTCATCCATCAATCTACCCATCATCCATCCAACCATCCATCGTCCATTCATCATCCGTTATCCGTCCACCCATCTATCATCCATCCATCCATCCATCATTCATCCATCATCCACCCTCACATTCATCATCCACTCATCCATCAATCTACCCATCATCCATCCAACCATCCATCGTCCATTCATCATCCATTATCCATCCACCCATCTATCATCCATCCATCCATCCTTCATCCATCATCCGCCCTCACATTCATCATCTAACCATCTATCATCCAGCCAGGATGTATTTGTATCTGGCGTTGACTGTATGCCAGGCTCTACTAGCCACCAGAAACAGAGGCATGAGGGAGAGCCCACAGCCCAGCCCTCTTCCCACCCCAGTGGTTTCTGCCCTTAAGCGTTCCCTGCTTGCCTTCTCCCAGCGGGTGCTGTGCCTGCGCCAGCCTGGTGCAGACCCAGACACTGACTCCGATTCTTTTACAGCAGACACGGCCCCTGGGGCTGAGGGGCCAGCGGCTGGGGACTCCCAGGCTGTGCGCCCCTACAAGCAGGAGCCCAGCAGCCCCCCGCTGGCGCCTGGCCTGCCCGCCTTCCTGGCTGCCCCGGGCACCACGTCCTGCCCGGAGTGCGGCAAGACATCCCTGAAGCCAGCGCACCTGCTGCGCCACCGGCAGAGCCACTCCGGCGAGAAGCCGCACGCCTGCCCCGAGTGCGGCAAGGCCTTCCGGCGCAAGGAGCACCTGCGGCGCCACCGCGACACGCACCCCGGCAGCCTCGGGCCCGCGCTGCGTCCGCTGCCAGCCCGCGAGAAGCCCCACGCGTGCTGCGAGTGCGGGAAGACCTTCTACTGGCGCGAGCACCTGGTGCGCCACCGCAAGACGCACTCGGGAGCGCGGCCCTTCGCCTGCTGGGAGTGCGGCAAGGGCTTCGGGCGCCGCGAGCACGTGCTGCGCCACCAGCGCATTCACGGCCGGGCAGCAGCAGCAGCCAGCGCACAGGGAGCAGCAGCCCCGGGCCCCGACGGCGGGGGCCCCTTCCCGCCCTGGCCCCTGGGGTAGCCAATGCCCGCGTGGTCCGAGCTGCTTCACCACCCCTGATGCTGCCCCTAGGCCCTCCCTCCTCCTCCCAGCGCCACCGCTTGGCCTCTTCCCCTCCTCCTCCTTCCCGCTTTCCCACCCTCCTCCGCAGCTGCCTCCCTTACTTCCCAGTGCCTTCCTCTGTCTTCCAGCTCCTTTCCCCACATTTCACTTTCCTGCTCAGGTCTCACCCTGGCGCCTCCTTTTCTGATTTCTCGGCCTCTCTCGCTGTGAGAAGGGGCCTCTTTCTGATGTCTGCTCCTTCTCTCCCCTCCTCTCTCTCCTGCTCCCAGCCTCCCTCTCCCTCCTCCATTCCTCTCTCCCCGGCCTTTCCCTGCCTCAAGAGCAGAGGTGAGGGCCTGGGATCCCTGAGGGGCGGGCCAGGAGCAGCTCAGGGGAGCGGTGGCAGGCAAGGCCCTCTTTATGAAGCGGAGGCTGAGGGAAAGGGATCTGGGTCTTCCCTGGGAATCCTCCTTCCCCAGGACAGATCCAGGGGTCGGGGAGGCAGCAGGTGTTGGCTCTGACAGGCTGGACCCGGGGCCTGGCTGTGGGCTCCTTGGTCTTGCTGCCCGCTGTGACCCAGAGGCATGGGATGGATAGAATGCCGGCCCCAGTGAAGCTGGGTGTGGACAGCAGGTCACCAGCATCCAGAAAGTAATCAATTCACTGTGTAGACCGGGCGTCTGAGCTCTGCCCAGTGGAAGCAAGTCTCCAGCGTCCACCCAGAGGCATGGGATGAACAGAGATGCCTGCCCCAGTGAAGCTGGGTGGGGACAACAGGTCACCAGCATCCAGAAAGTAACCAACTCACTGTGTAGACCTGGAGTCTGAGCTCTGCCCAGTGGAAGCAAGTCTCCAGCTTCCAGAGAGTAATAAAGTCACTGTGTAGACCTGGAGTCTGAGCTCTGTCTGGCAAAGCTGCCTCCCAGGGCTGAGCGTCGGGTGCCCGGGGCCTCTGGGGCCAGCTGTCTTGGCTCTCACTGCAGACTCTCCTGGCATGAGAGCAGCTCTGGGAGTCTGGGTGCAGCCGTGGGGGGCAGTGAGGAAGTGCGTCCTCAGGAACGAGCTGTCCCCACCTCTGTCCTGCGGAGACAGGGATGAGGCCGGGGCTCCCAGAAGGGGCCTGCTGAGCACCATGCTGAGTCAGGTTTTCCTCTGAACCCTTCAGCTTCCTGGGTGGGGTCTTGCAGGCTGATCACACTCTCTGAGCATCAGTTCTGTGCCTGTGATGATAATGACACCCACCTCTTGCTAAGGCCACTGTTTCAGGGGTGGCCCGTCCGTTCTGCCACGTGGGGAGCCCTCTCTAGCTGGAGCGGTTGGCCGACGCAGTGCTCTGCATGAAGGGCAGGCATGGGCCAGTCGCATCTTTCCAGGGAGCTGCCTCCACCCTTGTCCCCAGCTCAGCGAGCGACTCCAGTTCCTTCTCTCCAGGGATGACATTGCCAGCTTCTGCCACGTGGACAAAGGGCAGTTGCTGGGCTTTGAAAAGTGGAGGATGAGAGCTCTGGTCTGACCACTCCCCTGCCGCCCAGTCTTGGGGCTGGCTTCACCCTGGTCCTTTCGGCTCCTGCGTGTCCAGTGCTGGAGCCTGGCAGGCATTCTGTGTCAAGCCCTCCATGGTCACTGTCTTGCAGCCCACACAGTCACCTCCTTGTGGCTGAGCCTCTCAACGGTCACTGCCTTGCGCTCTGCTTCAGCTTCTGGCCCAGAGTCCAGCACTGGGGCAGGTACGGCCCGTGCCGGATTGCAAGGGCATCTGGGAACGCAGCCACCTGGACGGTCCAGGGCACATCACAGGAGCCTGGGTCTGCCTTCCAGACTCAGTTCGGGGAAGGTGCCAGGCCAGCCAGGAAAGGCAAGTGACTACAGCACCCACCTCTTCAAACAGGACTAGTCGTGCCCCCCTGGAAAGGGTCCGTTTTTGAAACTTAAATCAGGCTGGGCACGGCGGCTCATACTGTAATCCCAGCACTTTGGGAGGCCAAAGTGGGCAGATCACCTGAGTTCAGGTGTTCAAGACCAGCCTGGTCAACAAAGTGAAACTCCGACTCATAAACATAACAAAAGTTAGCTGGGTGTGGTGGTAGAAAACCTGTAATCCCAACTGCCCGGAAGGCTGAGGTGGGAGGATCACTTGAACCTGGGAGGCGGAGGTTGCAGTGAGCTGAGATTGTGCCACTGCCCTCCAGCCTGGGTCACAGAGCAAGACTTCACCTCGAAAGAAAACCATGAAAAGGTAACGAATGCAGAACACGTACAGGGACTCAGCATGTGATCTCAGCATGTTGGTCTCACACTGAGAGGTCAGGTTAAGGATGTCAGCCATGCCCACTGTGTAGGGGAGGAGGCAGGCCTGGAGAAGCCATGTCATCTGCTGCAGGCCTTCCGGAGGTGACTAGGAGGCAGGAGAGGGTGACAGGTGCGGGGCTCAGGCCAGGGTCTGAGGATGGGGTTCTGATATCAGCACACAGTCTGTGGGGCCAGACCTTTTAAAAATGCAGCTTGTAGGCTGGGCACGGTGGCTCATACCTGTAATCCAAGCACTGGGAGGCCGAGGCAGGCAGATCACAAGGTCAGGAGTTCAACACCAGCCTGGCTAACATGGTGAGACCCCGTCTCCACTAAAAAACACAAAAATTAGCTGGACGTGGTGACACATGCCTGTCATCCCAGCTACTTGGGAGGCTGAGGCAGGAGAATCGCTTGAACCTGGGAGGCGGAGGTTGCAGTGAGCCGAGATTGCACCACTGCAGTCCAGGCTGGGTGACAGAGCGAGACTCCATTGCCAAAAAAAAAAAAAAGGAGGAAATAAACCCAACAGGTTCCCTTACCAACATCCACTCTGATGGAGCAGGTGCCACGAGGGCCGTCCTGTGACTCACAGCTCACCACGTCTGCTGGACCCACCACATCTGCCATCCTTATCAACCCCAGCGCCACAGACCAGAGAACATCTGAATTGTGGTTTCCTGCTTCTGTCTGTTTTTTTTTTTTTTTTTTTTCTTCAGATGCAGTCTTGCTCTGTTGCCCAGGCTGGAGCGCAGTGGCACAATCTCAGCTCACTGCAACCTCTGCCTCCTGGGTTCAAGCGATTCTCCTGCCTCAGCCTCCAGAGCAGCTGGGATTACAGGTACCCCACCACCATCACCACACCCAGCTAATCTTTGTATTTTCAGTAGAGGCAGATTTTGCCATATTGGTCAGGCTGGTCTGGAACTTCTGACCTCAGGCGAGCCACTCACCTTGGCCTCCCAAAGTGCTGGGATTACAGGTGTGAGCCACTCTGCCTGGCTGCTCTGTCTTCATTGCTTGAGGGGTGAGATTGTTTTAAGAACCTGCCAGTAGCGTGAGGTGATGGTTTTTTTTTTTTTAATTTTCTGCTTCCTCTCCTGGGGGCCCTGGCACTAGGAGCACTGTCTGGACACAGCAGGGGTTGATTAATTCTCCTCATTTTCCCATGGGTGACCGCGTCTCCCCTCACCTCCTCCTCTCCCCAGCTAAAGGGTTCCGGCTATGGGGTTCCATACAGCAGGTTCAAACCTCAAGTGTGCTTCTTCCTCGCTGTGGGAGGAGGTTGATAGGGGCATCTGGTCAAGCCGCTCCAGTCTTGGTCTCTCTCACAGGTGATTGCTAACTGGGTCTCAAATCCATTTCATCTTTTTTTTTTTTCTTTTGAGACAGTCTTGCTCTGTCACCGAGGCTGGAGTTTGGTGTTGCAATGATACCTCACCACGGCCTCAAACTCCAGGGCTCCAAGTCATCCTTCCACCTCAGCCACCTGAGTACATGAGATCACAGGTGCACGCCACCATGCTCAGCTAATTTTTGTGTTTTAAAAAAAATACAAATGGAATCTCACTGTGTTGCCCAGGCCGGTCTCAAACTTGGGTCAAGAGATCCTCCTGCTTCAGCTTCCCAAAGTGCTGGCATTAGAGGGGTGGGCCGCCACAACTGCCCCCAAATGCATTCTAATTCCACTTCTTAAATTCTCCTGAAACTGAGTCCTTCTGTCCATCCTCAACCCCCACCACCGTTCAGGTCAAGCAGCTTCCTCTCTCTCCCTGGACAGCTGGAGTGGCTTCCCAGTTTATCCCTCTCCAGCTTCCTCTCTGCCCATTCCTGTCCACTCTCCATACCGCAGCAGGAGAGAGAGAGAGAGAGAGAGAGAGAGAGAGTGAGAGTGTGTGTGTGTGTGTGTGTGTCTTTAAAAGCACATATGTGTTCCCATTACCTTCCAGCTTAAAACTTATTTCGTGACTTCTGAGTGCTCCTGTGATAAAGACTCAGAAGGCAGGCGGGACACCGTGGCTCACGCCTATAATCCCAGCACCCCGGGAGGCCGAGGCGGGTAGATCACTTGAGGTCAGGAGTTCGAGACCAGCCTGGCCAACGTGGTAAAACTCCACCTGAACTAAACTTACAAAAATTAGCTGGGCGTGGTGTCCAGCATCTCAGTTACTCAGGAGGCTGAGGCAGCACAATCGCTTGAACCTGGGAGGTGGAGGTTGCAGGGAGCCAGAATCATGCCACTGCACTCCAGCCTGGGTGACAGAGTGAGACCCTTTCTCCAAAAAAAAGACAAGACTAGAAGGTTCCTCCTGGGGTGGTCCCTGCCTACCTCTTACCCTCCCCCATCCCGAGGCAGCCTGCATTCCAGGTCCAGCTGTCGCCCAGCTCCTTCAGCCTTCCTTCCTCCGCCCCACTGCAGGACATTTGCACAGGCCTTTTTGCCTCCACGTAGTAATAAACTGTTATTGTTTCTTCTTCCTTCTGCCTGGTGAACTCCAACCCCTCCTTCAGGCCTCAGCCTGGAGGCCAGCACGCCTCAGAGAAGCCTGCCCCAGCCTCTGTCGTGCGCACGCCCAGAGCCGTGCTCTTCCGACTGCACCGAGCATATGGTGAGTAGCTGCCACAAGACTGGGGGCTCCGTAAGGGTGGAATCAGTGCTCGGCAGAGTAGAACCACAATCCAGCGGAGCCCCCAGTGGCCTGTGTCGCACGGCTGTGGGGAGGATGAATGAGAAGCAAGCAAAACGAGCTGGAATCGTTGTGAGTCACTCCTTACCCCTCCAGGATCAAGGGGTTCGGCCTCCAGCCTCCCTGGAGCCCAGGCATGGGGTCCGGGCTTCCTTCCACTCGCCAAGCTCGGCCAATGGTGGGGAAATGAGGACCGTGCTGCCGGCTCCACAGCTCAGCGTCCATCCGCTGTGGCTCACATTTGGTTTTCTCTGAGGCTCTGGGCAAATGACACGCTGTCTTTGACCTTAGATCCGTCAACTGCCAAGTGGGCTGTCTAAGTCCACTCCGGCCGCTCTGACAAAATATCTTAGACCAGGCAATTTACACACAACAGAAATTTACCGCTCACCTTCCTGGAGGCTGGAGAGTCCAAGGTCAAGGCGCCGGCGGCTTCGGTGTCTGGCGTGAGTTTGCTCTCCGCTCGGTAGACGGCGCCTTCTTGCTGTGTCCTCACACGGTAGAAGGGCCAAGGGAGCTCCTCTGAGCCGCTTTTATAAGTGCGTGAATCCGGCCAGGCACGGCGGCTCACGCCTGTAATCCCAGCCCTTTGTGAGGCCGAGACAGGTAGATCCCTGAGGTCGGGTGTTCGAGACCAGCCTGGCTAACGTGGTGAAACCTCCATCTCTACTAAAAATGCAAAATTAGTTGGGTGTGGTGGCAGGTGCCTGTGATCCCAGCTACTCAGGAGGCTGAGGCAGGAGAATCTCTTGAACCAGGAGGCAGGGGTTGTACTGTGCTGGGATCATGCCATCGTACTCCAGCCTGGAAGACAAGAGCAAAACTCCGTCTCAAAAAAAATAATAAATAAGGGCATGAATCTCATTCGCAAGGACGAAGCCCTCATGACTTGATCATGTCCCCAAAGCCCTACCCATTTACCTATTTACATGACTTGATCATGTTCCCAAAGCCCTACCCATTTACCTATTTATTATCTATCTGTCTCATCTGTCTATGTCACTATGTCTCCATCCATCTATCCCTCCCTCCCTAGACTGCTCCTCAGACACCCCCCTCTTAGTACTCTCATGTTGGGTTTTAGTTTCCATCACATGAACCTTGAATGGACATTAACATTCAATCCATAACATGGGGGTTACAGTGAGGGCTAAGTTGGGGGAGTCCACAAGTCATGCTCACACCTGTAATCCCAGTGCGTAGGAGGCTGCTGCAGGAGGATGACTTGAGGTCAGGGGTTTGAGACCAGCCAGGCCAACATGGTAAAACCTCATTTCTACTAAAAATACAAAAATTAGCCAGTATGGTAGCATGCACACATCTGTAGTCTCAGCTACTTAGAAGGCTGAGGCAGGAGAATTGCTTGAACCTAGGAGGCAGAGGTTGCAGTGAGCCAAGATGGCATCACTGAACTCCAGTCTAGGTGACACAGCAAGACTCCATCTCAAAAAAGAAAAGTTCTGGGCACGGTGACTCACGCCTGTAATCCCAGCACTTTGGGAGGCCAAGGCGGGCAGATCACTTGAGATCAGGAGTTCTAGACCAGCGTAACCAACACAGTGAAACTCTGTCTCTACTAAAAATACAAATCTTAGCTGGGAGTGATGGCAGCCACCTGTAATCCCAGCTACTTGGGAGGCTGAGGCAGAAGAATCACTTGAACTGGGAGGCTAAGTTTGCAGTGAGCTGAGAGTGTGTCGCTGCACTCCAGCCTGGGCAACACAGCAAGACTCTGTCTCAAAAAAAAAAAAAAAGCAACAAAAAAACCCAAACCCAATCATTAAATACTCAGGATTGTTTGGGGGTGGTAAGCCGGTTGGTAAACTGTTAGTATGTAGAAATTGGCATTCATGGAATATTTACACCATGGGAATTGGCTAATGGTACAAATGCAGGCATTTTTTTTTTTTAATTTTGAAAAGCTGATTTTCCAGCACACCGCTGCTTCTGAGTCCGATTCACGTGCTGCTAACACAGAACCTCCACAGCACTCAATGATGCAGGAGTGGTTGCTTTCCACGGCCCTCTTCCTGCCGGACTGAGTTCTGCTAGAGCTGAGAGCAGCCTTCATTCATGCCTTGTCCTTCCTTCCATGCCAGGAGCTCAGCAAGGGCAGAATGTGGGAAGTAGACGAGTTCCTCTTTAAAGTTTCCCTTCTCGTTAAAGAATAAGTGTGCTAATCACTCTTTCTGAAGCCCTGTCCCATGTAGCTGTTAGACATGCCGTGCTCACAGGCACGTACTGCACTCTGTGTCCTTGTACTTTAACCAAGGTATCTGTGCTGGACGTGCTCACAGGCATGTGCCAGCTCTCCCTTGCTTTTACCTGTTTAGAAAAGTTTTAAGTTATCAGCCAATCGGGTTTTAGTTTAGACTGTGAGGTCTGGCTCCAGCCAACGGAGATCAGACACAGCAGTAAGGACGACCCCAAATGCATAAGGAATAAATTTGTCAGTTTTCCTTTGTTCATTGTACTCTTGGGGCAAGATGGCGAGTGAGGGTACCCTTCCTGCAGTCCAGGAGGTAAAACTCGCGTTGCTGAAAGATCTTTTGTCTCAGTGCTGATTTTTCTTTGCAGCACCGAGCAGCCATGTGGGACAAGCCCACAAGGGGCGCCCTGCCCTTGGCATTGCCGACTGTATTCTTTGAGAATCTTAGACACTTTTATGTATAAAAGCCATGAAAAGCAAGAACTAGACCGGGTGCGGTGGCTCAAGCCTGTAATCCCAGCACTTTGGGAGGCCGAGGCAGGTGGATCATGAGGTCAAGAGATCGAGACCATCCTGGTCAACAAGGGGAAACCCCGTCTCTACTAAAAATGCAAAAATTAGCCAGGCATGGTGGTGGGCGCCTGTAATCCCAGCTACTTGGGGGGCTGAGGCAGGAGAATGGCTTGAACCCGGGAGGCGGAGGCTGCAGTGATCTGAGATCGTGCCATTGCACTCCAGCGACTTGAATGACAGTGAATCTGTCTCAAAAAAAAAAAGAAGAAATCTAGATCTTTATGTAAAATTTCTGAAACCCTATATGCCTGCGATTCAATTGGCAATTTTTCAAAGCACTGTGTGGGAATTTAGCTACGTGTGGCAGCACACACCTGTAGTCCCAGTACTCGGGAGGCTGAGGTGGGAGGATTGTTTGAGCCTGGGCAGTGGAGGCCACAGTGAGCTGAGACTGTGCCATTGCACTTCAGCATGAGCAACACAGTCAGACCTCATCTGAACATAAATAAAAAATAAACAAAACACTGTGTGAGCTACAATCTGAAGGCACCAAAAACAAATAGAAACCACAACGCAGCTGGGTGTGGTGGCTCAAGCCTGTAATCCCAGCACTTTGGGAGGCCGAGGCGGGTGGATCATGAGGTCAAGAGATCGAGACCCTCTTGGTCAACATGGTGAAACCCCGTCTCTACTAAAAATACAAAAATTAGCTGGGCATAGTGGCGAAATCTCAGCTCACTGCAACCTCCGCCTCCTGGGTTCAGGCAATTCTCCTGCCTCAGCCTCCCAAGCAGCTGGGATTACAGGCACGCGCCACCACATCTGGCTAATATTTGTATTTTTAGTAGAGACGGGGTTTCACCATGTTGGCCAGGCTGGTCTAGAACTCTTGACCTGAAGTGGTTCTCCCGCCTCAGCCTCCCAAAGTGCTGGGATGACAGGTGTGAACTACTGCGCCTGGCCCTGGGTGTTAGTCCTAACTAAATCCCCAACCCCGAGCGACAGCACGCCCAAGTCCTTCAGAGGGTTAACTATAACCCCTTAATTTGGGTCCATGATAAGGAAGAACTGGGCCTTAAGTGTATTAGGTGAATGGGTAATAAGAAAAAAAATAAAATTTAAAAAAAACGGGCTGGGCACGGTGGCTCATGCCTGTAATCCCAGCACTTTGGGAGGCCGAGGCGGGTGGATCACGAAGTCAAGAGATCGAGACCATCCTGATCAACATGGTGAAACCCCGTCTCTACTAAAAATACAAAAAATTAGCTGGGCGTGGTGGTGCGTGCCTGTAGTCCCAGCTACTCGGGAGGCTGAGGCAGGAGAATTGCCTGAACCCAGGAGGCGGAGGTTGCGGTGAGCCGAGATCACACCATTGCACTCCAGCCTGGGTAACAAGAGAGAAACTCCGTCTTAAAAAAAAAAACTGGTCAAGGGACATTATGGAATATTGAGCATGGTGGCGGACAGGGACCTTTCCTCCAAGCTGAGTTACAGGAAAGAAAGGCACAGGCTTCCCCACCCGTGGTGCTGACCTCCCATCTCAGGTGGGCCAGAGAAAGAACATGTTTGTACAAATTGTTCTTAACCTGTACCAGGACTCTCCCCTCCCTCTTTTCGTGGTTTTACTTTGCATATATGTGGGGAATTCTTCGGTGAGATGGAAAAACAAATATGGATTTCCATTTCAAAATCTTCGGAGTATTTGGCTCTTGTTTTTCTGAGATGGGATCTCACTGTGTCTCCCAGGCCTGAGTGGTCACATCAGGGCTGGCTGCAGCCTCGACCTCCCAGCCTCAAGCGGTCCTCCCACCTCGGCCTCGGGAGCGCTGGGACCACAGGTACACACCGTGACACCCTGTTAATTTTTGTATTTTTTTGTAGATGGGGTGTCGCTATGTTGCCAAGGCTGGTCTCAAACTCCTGAGCTCAAGCAACTTGCCCACGCTGGCCTCCCAACGGGCTGGGATCACAGGTGTGGACCGCTGCACCCGGCTGTTTTTATGAATGCCGAACTCCCGGACAACACAGAATGCGGGCATGGATTTTTGGGGCCTGCCTAGCTCCTCGGGGTAAAATGTGTATATTTAGAAAGATACGGCATTTACATCTGCACATTGAACAGGTCCTCACGCTATGGCCCGTCCTCAAGCCACTGTGATACTCAGAGCTCTTTGAGCTCGATTTTTTCATTTTTTTCCAA